TCGTTGCTGCGATTCACAGAGTGCATTGTAAAATTAATTGACTGTATTTTGTGGACGGTGCCATTTTTGTAGGTGTGTGAGGCTGGCGATGTGGTGCTTTTATTTAGCATGGGTCGGAGGATTACAGTAGTCGATAAATCTTAAGCAGTAAAGATTCAGTGAGGATTTTTTTGAGACGTCTCAACGAGGTAATAAGGCGCTCTATCAAGTGCAAGGAGTATTTTGATTTGTGATCTCTCCAATTTGCAGGATAAATATGTGTATTTAAGGAACATTTGTGTGTGTGCAATATATTCAATTATACGCACAATTCCCTCTCGATTTCCCCCAAATGAATAGTATGAAAGCTTTTGAGAAGTGTTGCACAGACGGTACAGCAATGAAACCATCTTATTTGGCTCAACGAGTCCATGTGTCACTGTTTATACTCTACATGAACCTCCTAATCCCCTCCACCGAACACCTTCTGTTCCCTTCTCCCTCGTGTATGCAAGTAAAGCAATGCTATGTTGTCGCCAGACTTCTTGGGGGTGGGAAAAGGGAACGCGTTAGCTGTTCGAGACAAAGTGACGTGTGTTTGCGTTGCTTCATCTGATTCTGACGCAGGTGCTCTCAACGATTCTTACAGTGGAAGTATCATTTGGTGATTTATTTCAAAACGTGTGAGAAGAACACAGTAACGCCCAAGAGGTGCCAATCTGTACCTGAGACAATGCTGTTCCTCTCTCTCTCTCTCTCTCTCTCCACCTCGCTCCCTTCCTTCCTTCCCCGTCTTCAGATCACGCCTGAAAACCTTCCTCTTCGACCGTGCCTATGGTCACCTCCTCTCTCCCCCCCCACCCTCCCCGGCATCGCTCTGGGTGAGGGGGCGAGTCGTCGTTGTTGTTGTCGTTACCGCTTTCAAACCGGGTTGGAGGAATTTCGCAAAATCCTTCAGGAAACAAATCGCTTTCATTGGAAACTAAATTCAAATCGACGTGGATCAAAACCTTGAGGGCGACGGGCTGTTTTGTATCCGCAGTTTGCTGCTGGGGGCACATTTATTGCACGCGATGGGCAGAGGTGCTCAGTCTCATGCTCGGTAAATACTGCCGGCAAGCCTGAGATGGCAAGATGGCCTGAGATAAACCTTTGCCTCCCATCTTTCTCCAGTCGAATGTCTGCAATAATGACTCGAAAACTGCTCGAAAACTGTCTTTAAAAGTCGCTCCAGCTTCTGCTGTTTCCCTGCGCTCGCCGATTACTGACTTGCCCTTATACGCAGCCAGGCTTTAAAAGTTAAAGAATGTTAACACCAATAATATTTAGAGCGACCGGCACTTCTTAACGTCGCTCAGTTTGCTGTGCGCTGAAATGAGGATCCAGACTGATGGCATTGAGGTGTTATTTGTTGTTGTTGTTGTTATTCGTGGAATAATAATAATAATTGGTATAATAATTTGCTTCGTTTCACCCACAAAACACGCACAGTATGTTCTGCGAAGCGCTTTGAGACGTCTCAACGAGGTGATGAGGCGCTGCATCAAATGCAAGGATTATTGTTGTTATTTTGTGTGGGAAAGTTCGGATGATTGATTTGAATCTTTTTGTTTTTCCCTCTCCCACCCAGATAGTATCCACCAGAGAAAGTTGTTCGCTCTGGATCGAGGTGAAGAGGGCTTTCCATCCGAGGCCTTGCCTTATGAAGAGCCTAGCGCCCACCCTCATAGCAGAATGTCTCAATGCACAGCGTCGGAAAACAGAGTGGTGGCCACCACCCAGTCAATGGAGGGTATGGAACACTGACCCATCTCAGCGTCCGCAAACCGACACCTATTTTGTCTGCTTTCTGATGTTCTGTCCGGGTTTTACCACCCCCACCCCCTGTCGTGTCTCTGCCTCTGACGCTTGCACTGACGCTTGCACCTCTTTCACAGGGAAGGTGTTCAAATGTTCCACCAACGACTGTACCGAGGCTTTCGCCAGCATGCAGCACCTGATGAACCACATGAGAGCACATTACAAGCCCAACCGATATTTCAAGTGAGCTTTTTGTTTCCTTTCCTGTCACACCCTCGGCGGATTCAGCCGTGAATCCTGTACTTTGTTCGATAAGAACGCAGGATACAGCCGCAAGTTACTTTTACTGCTGGCAGATTTTCAGACGCTGTGTTTTGGGCGAGTGTCTAAAATCGAGGGCTTGTTTCAGTGAACTTTAAGCAGAAGGGAACTTGGTGTGCGTGCGTGCTTGCATGTGTGTATGTGTGTGTGTGTGTGCATATATAAAAATAAGGCTTGTGTGCTTCTGGGCAGAATGCCCTTGCTTTCCTTAGCCGCTCCCGCGTTAATCGAATGTGCCTTCGGTCACCTACCCGTTTCTGAACCCAACTCGCGTGGAGTCCTGTAGCGTAGTAGAGCACTCACACTTCACAACATATTCTGTGAAGCTCTTTGAAGCCCCTAAAGGACATGATAAAGCACTCTATCAAACGCAAGGATTATTAATATTACTATGATAACCCACAGCTCGGGTGCAAATCCCCTCACTGTCCAGCACTTTGGGCCATCCTCCCAAATGTGAAAGGCGCTATATAAATGCAATTTGTTGTAGTTCTTGCTGCTCTCCAATCCAACGAAGAGCTGCCAACTGTGGAAGCTACAGGGCAAGAAAGACGGGGTGGTGGGGGGGAGTCAGTGTATTTATTAATAATAATGATTAATAATAATCCTGGCATTTGGTTTTTACGTGCAAACCCACCAGAAGAGCCGGGCGCTGACTTTTCCCTCGCAAAGTTTTTCTTTTAACGGCCTTTGTTCGAAACGTTTTGCTCCGCAGATGTGAGACGTGCAAATTGTCTTTCCGGTCACACCGATCCCTTTTCAAACACCTGCACGTGTGCCCCAACCTCGCGACGAACGCTCAGTCACTGAAGGCGGAAAAGCCTTGGAGTCCAGGCCGACCGGCCTCCAGCGAACCCGACCCTCTCCTGAAGACTCCGGTCCCTGTGGAACCCGTGATATTTCAAAGCGTCATCAAGCAGCTGGAGAAGGAAGGCAGCGCGGACACCGTCAGCCCGGCCGCCAGCTCCAAACCTGCGTCCGCGCTGCCCAGCCCTCTGCCGAGCCTCCACACCTCGCTCGGCTCCATGCCCCTCGTCTCGACCGGCCCGCACCCTTTCTCGCTGCTGCAGCCTTCGCTGTTCGCGGCGCCCGGCCTCGGTAGGTTTCCCGGCCAAGCGCACGCACAAGTTCCCGGGCCGTTCATCCCTTACATGCATCCCGGACCCTACAGCCTCCCCCAGGCCGGCCTGCAGCCTCGCCTGAGGCCCTACGTCCCCTCCCAAAGTCTGCCTTTCTCAAACGCCGTCTGGAGGAAGAGTGCAGGTGAGCGATGAGTTTTGATCTTTTGTCCATCCCATTGTCAGTCGGACCGAGCAGACTGGTGCAGGGGATAGAGGTTATTTCCTCTTAAGAAGAAAGCTCCAGAAACGTGGGGTCCAAACGTTTTTCTTTGTACCATTTCAAGCAATACGAACATCTTTAAACATGGCAGATCTGGGTCACAGCTGAAGTTCTTGTAACTCCAGGAGAAAGCCGTTTACCGTTGCAAGCTGCAATTAATTTTGACAGACACAGAAGGGGTGGGGGAGTGGAGGAGGAGGGGGGGGGCTCAGTTTATACGTCTCACCCGAAGGACGGCATCTTGCGCAATGCAGCGCTCCTCCAGCACAGCATCAGGAGTGTCAGCCTCGACTGTTAGGTCAAAGCCCACTTCGGTGATCAACGGAAAGTCACTTCATGGAGACGAGGTGGATTAAACACGAGGGGTGGGAGGGGAGAGCCAACGGTAATACGATACGCCTGCGAGTTGTCTGGCAGAGTTAGAGTTTATGTGACCGACGTATTTGGGAAGCATGATTGTAGTCCTGTTTCCTTTACCTTTCTGGGGTTTTTTTTCCTTTTATTCAGCTCAATCAGCCAACAGCAGGATAGTGTGGGAGCACACGCGAGGGCGATACAACTGCATGCAGTGCCCGTACTCTGGCATGTCCCGCGAGGAAATCACCTCCCACGTGCAGGAGCATGGCAAGGGGCTGCCCAGCAGACTGCCGAACGAGGTGGGGGTGTTCGTCAACTCCGGCGACAATTACAGCCCATTGTCCATGCAGTTCGGCGAGTCTCTGTTTACCTAGGTTCGTTTCGTCCCGGACTTGCGTTCCAACAGCAACAAAAGAACAGTCGACGGTCGATGGGTTTTTGCTTTACGTTTGCCGTGCGTGCCAATAACATGGCTGGCGACACCACATCGACTGGCCGACCTCATTTCCCTATTGTTTTAGCTTGCAGCATGCCCCTCCGTCAGCAACGCTTAAGTCAGTCAGCAACCAGAAGCAAAGGCTTCAACCCATGTCGCACACCGTGCTGAGGAGAGCTCCCATCCGTCTCGTTTACTGCGCAGGTGTCGTCGGGCGGGAGGAAGGAGGCAGAATTTAGGACTGTAAGTTCAAACACTCCTCGGTTGTTGGTCGATTGGCGGATTGCTTTCCGGGGGCAATAATTCCCTCCTCCCCACCCCAAGACAAAAATTTGGACGCTCAGTCCACGACTGATTGTGTGAGACTGTTGTGCGCAATTGGCTACCGCATTTTGCCCACAGAGTACACAGTCACACCACTTTGCAGTATATTCTGTGAAGTGCTCTGAGACCTCTCAACCACCCGATGAGGCACTATATCAAATCATAGAGTTATAGGAGGCCATTCAGCCCACCGTGTCTGTACCAGCTCTTTGGAAGAGCTATCAATATTAATCCCACTTCCCCGCGCTCTCCCCATAGCTTTGCAAATTTGTTCTCCCCAAATATCTGTCTAGAGTTATTATTACCATTGGATTGTTGCTGAATTTGAGTCCACCGAGATTTTGTTCATGTCTGGTGGAAATTGAAATAGTTTTCAATCCCAAAGTTTCCTTTTTTTAATTTAAAAAAAAATTCTCTTTCTCTCTCAAACGATCAGAACTGCCACATTGGAAAAGTTTTCTCTTTTTTTTTCCAATCCATTCCGTTTTCCTGCATTTACACTTTTCTGGCCCAAACGCTAATTGTTTTCCTATATATTTTTAAAAACGAACAAATAAACCAGGCTAGTGAAACAGTTAATGCAAAAAGAAAAGGAGCACAAAAAGATTCCTGTATTCAAACGATTCGTCACTGTGAATGGACAAGGTGCAAACTATGGTATGTGATCGTTCTCATACGACATGCTGCATTTTTTAAAAACTTCTTAAAGCCTCGTAAATGCCTTCCGCCATCCCCTTCCCCTCCAGTATCTGCTCAGGGCTATTCCTATTCTCCCAATGTGCATCAAACCATTGTTGTTGTTGTTGTTCTCATCGGGTGAACCTCCAATTAAGTCTCGTTTGTGAGGCTGGTGCTTCATTCGGAATCTGAACACCAGAATCCCACTCGCAATCATTTAATTTGGTCACTTCAATCCACGACAGTTTGTGGGACACTGCTGTGCGCAATTGGCAGCTGCATTTGGCCCACAAAATATAACGTCGATCCACTTCATCTTGGGACATATTCTGGGAATCGCTTTGAGACGTCTCAAAGACATGATCCAGTGCTATTTTGAATGCAAGGATCAGTATTACTATTCCAGCACCTTTCCATTTCGATGGGAATCGTTTGACCTGTTTCCTAGACTGACGTTTTGATGATGTAACCATTTGCTTCTGGGTCACAGGTCAGTGTTTAAATTGCCTGATCCAGGGTTCATCAAATGTTTTTGTTGGCAAACGGTGCCTTTCCATGTTATTTCAACGCTTCACGGGTGGTCAAAAACTCCATTCTCTTCTGTTTATTTTCTTAGGAGGTCTTATGGGGTTCTTTTTCTTTTCCTTGGTAGACTTTGTGCTGGGATGTATGAAATTGTGATGCTTTACAATAGAACGTAAGGATGAGTATTGTGTAGGTTGGCAGCTGTCTCAGAACTTGCAAAATGCCACGCAAGTTTTGAAACGCAGACCTGATTTATCAAAGTGACCTTGAGCGCATGGTAAATGTCACGAGTATTTGGCGGGGTATCTTATTTGTGCCAGGCTGGGAGACAGACAAAGTATTGAATCCAATACAGGTTAGTTTTGGAACAGGTGAGTTGATCTGGTTTACCCAATTGTCCGGGATAAAGCGAGCGCAAAGCTCGTTGCTTGATGCCACGCCACCACGACTTAGTTGTGCATTGCTCTTGTTCACCCTGAACCCCAACTCACATCTGCAGTGCCCCAATTGTGTTCTGACTCGTAATAAATAAACCTTTGTGAGCACAGCGCTTGGAATCTACTATCAGTCTGTGATGGTTGTTTGAGGATAAATAAGCCCGGTTAAAACGTAAGGACACAGAAACCTACAACCGCGAAAGACTGTTATGGTCAAATCAGTCTTGTGATCGAAAGCAATCCATTATCTTATCTTAACAGTCTATTCCCATCATCTCCCAACCCCCACCACCATTTTGCCCCCGAATTACACAATTAGATGCGAACCAAGTCAGATTTTTATCCACGTGAAATTGTTGTGTGTGGGAATAACAAATGCGTGATCTCATCGGGTTTGGAATTGTATCAAGAGAAACATTCAAAGTGTCCATACTGTACGTCAACTTGTGTGTGTGTGTATGTGTGTGTGTGTGTGTGTGCATTTATGTACTGAAAAAATGGACCGTTCTACTAGGTAGTAATGGTTGTAGTCAGGCAATGTGAACTGATCTAGATGCAGGCTCCCCAAAGTGAAGAGCCAGCTCACATTCAACAGAGCAGCTGGGGCAACCGGGTGCCTTACACATGCGGTTTGGCTGCTCTTAAGAAATGAAAACAGTAGCCAGACTTCCCAGTAAAGTCTTGCAAAATGCTTTAAGACTCCTCGGCAACGTGATAAGAGGATCTTATCAAACGCAAGAGTTTCCGCATGCGTCTAGACAACCGCCTGAGCAAACGAAAAGCAACCAGAGAGGCTTGGACTTTGAGCTGGAGTGAGCGGCATTATTTCAGCAGCTTCCCTCTCGAGGGCTGTGCCTGCGTTACGGCTTTTAGACAGAGCAGAGGTGGTTACGCTTTTGACGTGAAAATGGTGATCAGTGTTGGCTCTGAGATGAGCAGCGGCCATGTCATCTCGAAACTGGCAGCTTTCTTTATTGCTCGAGGTTCATCTATGTATTATTCTTTTTTGAAAGTTAATTTTGAAGCAAATGGCAAACCAAAAAAAAACACCCCGGGGTAGAATTTTCTACAGCAAAAGCGTAAACTCCTTTAAAGATAGCCGTCATGTTTTCGACACGCCAGTTCATTTGACGGGCGTATGTTGATGAATAAACCATTAGAGTGAACTCAAGCAACTCTTAACGATATTCAGCAGTACAGCGAAGCATTTTTAGCGACAGTGTCTCAAGATCTGTAAAAACTCTTTAACGCACAGAGGGAGGGAGAAACATTTAAACCGGTACCTCAGAACGTACGAACAGGGGTGGGCCATTCATGCCCTTCAAGCCTGTTCTGCCATTTAATTAGATCACGGCTGATCTGTACCTCAACCAATCCTTTCAATTCCAATTTCCTGCTTTCTCCCCATACCCCTTAATTCCCTGACCTACCAAAAATCCATCAACCTCACTCTTGGAAGGTGTGGATGGGTCCAACATCCACAGCCTTTTGGGGGAGAGAAAAGCAACCAGAGAAAAGTAGTCATCCACACTCCCACTAACATACACTCGTGCTCTCTTCATACCTTCAGAGGTTACAGGACCCAAAGGAGTCCGGACTTTTGGAATCTTCACTACGTTTTGAATTCTTATCTGAATCTTTGCATGTTTTTTTTTTTGCAGCTACTTTTATGTCGCTACCTGGCAAGATACTGTAAATTATGATGATAATGTTTGGTGATAGAAAATGTTTCCATTGTCGGAACGTGTCAACTATTAAATTATATTTCTTTATCCTGTATATAATTCACTTTGATATCCTCGTTGTGTAGAATTACCCAGAGGAACACAGAAGGTTTACTTTGTAATGCTTTGGTTGACGAAATACTGTTGCATTTGTGACCTCTGTAAACCTATTAGCTTAGTGCAAGTTTTGCTGGGTTCCAATCTTAAAACTTGTGTGCAGAGAGCAGTTCAGGTTGTTGGTATAAGTGTAATGTGGGCAACTTTCCTCTAATAAAAGGTTTCAAAAACAACTTTATTTCCAAGAAAGCAATCATGTACTTCCCCAACCACAGATCTCTTAACCGTGCGTTTCCGCTCCTAAAATGGCTGGAGGCATCCATATATATGCACCAACCCATCATGGCCATTGTCCAAATAGACTCCGGGTGGCGCAGCCAGGATCATTCGACTTAAATTCATCATTTTGTTTGTGATTATCCTTTCAGAACTTTCCTATGTCGCCCACTTGGTGTTTCATGATTATTCTTCTTCAGTTTGCCCTCTTAATATTTTACCTGCTCCAGGTGTCAAGACAGTTGCTTCCCGTTTTAAGAGGGAAACCCTTCTTACACACACAGAAGGGAGTTTCTCCTGGAGGGATGCACCCTGCTCACCTGCTTCCAGAAAGTATTAGGTGCAGGTTGGCCAGTGCCACGGTTTGGGGACCCCAGAGTGCGCGTTGGGGTAACTGCTGGAATCTAACCAGCTAAAACCCCATTGATATCGCCGCCCAGCAAGCGTTCCTGCTGCTTGTCCAGCTAGGACCACCCCTACCCTTTAGGGCTTTGGCTTACAGGGTTAACGGGAGCTGAAAGGGATGTCTCCCAGTGACTGGTCTGCCCCTCCTCGCAAGTCCTGCCCGTGAGTCAGGCGTTCTCATCAGCGGTGCCCTGGAATACTGCGGACCCACCTGGCTCAGGAACTGGACTGGAGAAACCGCCGCAGAGGGCGGGCTCCACTCTGACGCCGTGTCGCCAAACATGTCAGTTTGGAGCCAGTTCAGTTCCTGCGATTAGACTCGGCTTTCACAAAATAGACGGGTCGATTTACTGCACAGTATAATAATAATAATAATAATAATAATCCTTGCATTTGACGTAGTGCTTTTCACGTCTTCTCGACGTCTCAAAGCGCTTCACAGAATAGACTGTAAAGTGAACGGACCGTATAGTTGTGGGTGTATTCTGTGCCGCGCATTTGAGACGTCTCAACGGCGTGATAAGGCGCTGCGTCAAATCCCCTGTATTATTATTATCACCATCTCAAATTCTAATATTATTATCTCAAATTTGTTATATTATTATTTCAAATAATTATTATATTATCTCAAATTATGTTAACTCAAATTATTATGTTATCTCAAATTATTGTGTTATCTCAAATTATTGTGTTACTATCTCACATTATATTATCTCCAATTATTATGGTATTATCTCAAATGATTAATTATCTCATTATTATATCATCTCAAATGATTATTATAGTCTTATCTGAAATGATAGTAAGTGTTAACATAGTCAGTCGTTGTTATTCTAACTCTCAAGCGGAGGGGGGCGCTGGTGAGGGCACGAGTGGGAGTGTCGCAGTAGCGCCGGGCGGTGGCGCTAGTGAGCGCGTTGCAGCGGCGGCGGCGGCGGAGGGGAGGAGCCTGAGGGGGAGGAGCCGGGGGGGGGGGGGTGAGGGGGAGGAGCCGGAGTGGGAGTGGGGGAGGAGCCGGGGGGCTGGTGGCCTTCGCAGCGCGAGCGCGTTGCAGTGGCGCCGGGGAGCCGGGCGGTGGCGCTGGCGGTTTCCTCCCCACACCCCCCCACCCCGCAGGCCCTCCCTGCCGAGGCCGCTGCACGTTGGCGCTGAGCTGAGTTCCGCGCTGCTCGTTGTGTGGGGGGGGGGCGAGCGAGCGCGAGAGAGAGAGAGCGAGAGAGCGAGAAAGAAGCTTCTGGGTCGTCGCTGCCGCCTTGTCCCCTCTCTTTCTCTTTCACTCCCTCTCACACACTCCCTCTCTCCCGCTGCTCGGCGCCGGCCATGGACATGAAGCGGAGGATCCACCTGGAGCTGAGGAACAGGACTCCCGCCGACGTAAGGGGCCGCCCGGGGTGTGGGACAGGGGTGAGGGGAGGGGGAGAGACGGGGAGAGAGAGAGAGAGGGGGGAGAGAGAGAGCAGTTTAGGCGGGAAGTGTCGCAGGGCCGCGGTGAGCAGCCGGTGCCTCTCGAGCACATGGCGCGGCCCGCGGGCCGGAGCGGGTGAGGGAGGGCAGGGGAGAGAGGGAGGGAGGGGGGGAAGGAGAGAGAGAGAGAGGGGGGGAAGGAGAGAGAGGGAGAGGGGGGGAAGGAGAGAGATGGAGAGGGGGGGAAGGAGAGAGGGAGAGGGGGGGAAGGAGAGAGAGAGGATAGGTTGGTGGCGGGAGAGAGAGAGAGGGAAGGAAAGAAAGAGAGAGAGGGGGGGGGGCAGAGGGATGGGGTGAAGTGGGGGGGGGGAGAGGGGGGTGGAAGGGGAGAGCGAGGAGGTCGGGGGCTGAGGGGTAAATCCAGGTTGTGACTGAATAATAATAATAATATTATTATTATGATATAAGTTGTCGGGTTTGTGGTAAACAGCGGAGGCCGCCATCTCCTCTCCCCCTCCTCTCTCTCTCTCACTTTCTCATTCACTCACTCTCTCTCTCTCTCTCTTATGTGTGAGACGCGCCGCTCTCTCTCTCTCTCTGTACACGTGCTTTCCTCCCTTCCCCCTCGTATCTCCCCCCCCCATCTCTCTCTCCCCCCCCTCATCTCTCGCCCCCTCCATCTCTCTCCCTCATCTCTCTCTTCCCTCCATCTTCCCCCATCTCTCCCCCCCCATCTCTCCCCCCCCCATCTCTCCCCCCCCCCCCCCATCTCTCTCCCCCTGACCACCCCCCACACCACACACACATTAAAAGGCGTCAAACAATCCTATATAAAAGAAAGTTATATATCCGCTTCTTTTTCTCTCTCTCCACTCAAAACCTCCTCAACACATTCAGCTCCACGGTTTTTCCTGTCTTCTCCCCCCCCCCCCCCCCTCACTCCGAAAGGCTTTCAAAATGATGTGAGATACAGCCACACTTTGTCCTCTCTTCCTTTCACCCCCTCCCTCCTTCCTTCCTTCCCTCCCTCGGATTTCAATTAACCGCTTCTTTTTTTTTGTTTTCGTTGAAAATATTTTTTGGGAAATAAAACAATATTTATTTTAAAATGTAGCCTTTGGTTACGCCGATGCACAATATCTTTCCTCTCTTCCTTCCACATCCCTCATTTCAGTGACCTGCAGCGAGCGAGAGAGAGAGAGTGAGAGAGAGCGCGCGGGTCAAATTGGATCGGATATGTGTGTGTGTGTGGGGGGGGGGCCCGGGGGGCTGCATCGATTTCTTTTGTTGGTCATCCTTTGAGAAAGTCCAAGGCTGTCCCAATTGGAGGCTCGATTCCCTCCCACCGCGCGCACACACACACAGAATAAGATCGTACTTTTAGAATGAGTTTGTCTGGTCGCATGGACTGGTGATTAATTATTAAGCACATGCTCTGTAATCTACTGATCATTTTTGGTTCCAGGTAGGAGAACTTTGAGCAGAGCTGGGTTGTTGAATCTGCTTTTTTTTTTAAACCCAAACTAAATAATAACTGTTGATTTGTACTCCTAATGCTTAATTTGTACTCTTAATGCTCCCCCCCCCCACCCCTACCACCGCCCCCATCGCCTCCGGTATTTCTCCACCCTTTGGATTCCTGCCGTCGTACACTCTCGCTTCAAAAGAAACAAGACTTTTAATCAAAGGGGCAAATTAAACCATGCCTCGTTTACTCATTGCACCGTTTGAAATGCCCATCATACGCAGTGGTGTGCAGTTACAAACATGAGCACACAATGAGTCAGGAATGGAGGTTATAGAGATACTGTATATCTCTTACTTCTTTGAAGGTGCCTACGGTCATCTCTCCCTTGCTCAGTGTCCAATCCCATTCCCTCTGAAGTGGATTGTGAAGGCTTCACAAGTCGTTGGAACATAAATGGCTATTGAAGCTGGTGAGCAGTTGAATAAAGAAGTAAAGGGGAGAAGAATGGGATTAATAATACATAACCACAACCGGAAACTAGCTTGCTGATATTTTGCTTTTGAAAAAAATCCTACTTTCTAGCTCTGATGTAGATAACAGCAATGCAAGATACTAGAATATAGGCCCATGAGATATATGGACCTGGAAAAGACCATTGCAGTGCATTTATTTGTTCCATAGTATATACAGGGTGACCCCTGTTATTAAACACCTTGTGGGTTGACTTATAATATAGGTCTCTTGTGAACCTGGTGCATCAGTGCAGTACGCTTCCAGTGTGGCAATCAGTCGGCCTTGTGACATTTCAAAGCGAGCACTGGCCACAATTAGCACAGATGATAATTTTGAAGCCGCACAAACATCCCATTCCCTTCACATTGATTCTGTCCTGGCCTTTGGCTGTGGGAAACTGATCCTGGATTTAGCTTGCAATCTTGCTGACGGGCAGCCCTTGTGCTAGTATTGCTGTAAGGTGACTAAGCAGGCGTGCATAATGCTGCTTAGCTTTACCAAGGCTTTAGAGGCAGCAGGTAAGGGTGCCGTCTTTCCACTGCGACATCTATATGTGGTGACCTCCCGTCTCCGATATTGCAGGAAAGAGCAAACTAAGCTATTTGCAGTTTGACGGCACTCTAAAGTGGTTCTAAATGATTTTCAAATGTCATTGTCAGCCTTACAGTATTATCAAATTGAGAATGTTTTTTTTCATAGACTGTTTTATACCGTCTGTTTCATTGGCATGTTGCCAGAGGTAATTCCCAAGTCCTTCGGTAAGCAGTATTTATGCATAGTGACAGAAAATGAGTGACATTCAGGTAACCCTACCAGCCTGACTGTCGACAAGACTTATATGCAATGATTTGATTGTCTTGTGTCCTTCTGAGTTGCATATTTAGTAGAATTTGAGTGTGTCCTGTTTGCTTTTGAACCGGCAGGTTAAGGAGTTGGTTCTGGACAACTGCAGATCAAATGATGGCAAAATTGAGGGACTTTCTGCAGCGTTTGACGGGCTGGAGTTTCTCAGTATGATCAACGTAATGCTGACCTCGGTATCAAATCTTCCCAAGTTGAATAAGCTCAGAAAGGTAGGAATTTGATTGAATTCAGTCTGTTCAGTTAGTTAATGAAGGAGGGTAAGTGTAAAGCAATACAAATATGGGTGTTCCAGACACTCCTCAACATTTGCCTGGACCCTTGTAATTTCTCAGTCAAACAAGAAAGATTATTACGTAGCCAATAAAGTAAACGCGCATAAATGGCATAACATTTAATCTAACTTGCACGAAGTTCGAGGTACAGGCAAACTAAATCATAAATCGTATAAAATCCGATTTAATCAATAGTCTACAATGCACGTGCATGATTCAATGCGTCTTGTTAAGTGTGAATGTGGTGCTTTGACACTGCTACTCGTGGTGACGGGTCAGTACTATGTTTCCTGTGATTCGATGCATCTTGACCCGTCGCAGCATGCACAAGCGTTGAAATCGTGTGGAATCGCAGGAAGCTCTGCTGCACATGTGTCAACAGACCCAGTTTTCCTATTTTGTTCATCTGCTTTACCGCAGATCGATGCAGCTCAGTGAGCCACTCTGATCGGGTATTGCTAGGATTCTATTTTAATCTTCAGTATTCTGAACATTCAGAGCCTTCGTGGCTCTCCGTGACACTCGTCTCTGGATTCTGGAATGTTTTGACTTGATTTCCTGGTTCGGGCACGCACTCAGAAAATATACAAATTTTGAGGGCTTGTGATCAGCTCTGTGGTTTTAATGTTTAGCGCAATGTGCAAAACCTATGGGGGTCATTGTTTAATAAGTGAGCACCTCCTACCATTATCACAAAATGCAGAGGTGAAGTCCTCAAGTGAATGTGCAGCACTGAACTATCGGCATCCACTGACTTCCAAACTACATTAGCCCTGCTGAGATCATACAGAAACCTGAGTAGCAGGTTTAAACTTGTAAGTTGAATTGTGGCCTACCTCTGGGAAACCCTGCTGCCGACAGTAATGCTACTCAGTCACATTGTAGACCTGTTATTCAATAATCAGAATACAAGGTCTGATGTATTTACTGTGGCTTTATTTGAAGACTGCAAAAGACCCATAATTTGCAGGTGCCGCAAAGCAAATCCAGGTAAACATTCATGTTTGTTTGAATATTTAAAGAACGAGATAAAATGTTTTAATTATCCTAAAGTGGTTCCCTGTAGCCTAGCTGTCTTGATCTTGTCTTGGCTGCTTTTCTGAGAGTAAATAATTTAATCGTGAGATTTATTTTGCACGAGGAAAAAAAACAGCACAGAGCTAGCAAAATAATGTTTCCCTTTTGTAATAAAATAGATTGTTGTGAATGCTCCACTGATTTAATATTGTTTTTCTCACCAATACTTTCAGCTTGAGCTAAGTGATAACAGAATAACTGGAGGCCTTGAAGTTCTAGCCGAAAGAACCCCAAGTCTCACGCACTTAAATCTCAGTGGAAATAAAATCAAGGACATCAACACTTTGGAGCCTTTGGTAAGACGTTATTGATAGTTGGAACTTGAATTTGCAGGATTCAAGATCAATTATATCAAAGTCTGATAAAATTGCTAACAGATGGAAATATATGCATAGTACACCTGCATTACAATCAAATATGTGTGCTTGCCCTTTATATTATTGCTTATTTTGGCGTATGTGGGCATTCCAGTTTACCCTACCCTGATGTTGCAGTGGATACATAGCAGCGAAACTGAGCTTTGTCGATTCAAAGTTTGTTTGTTTGAGGGGGAAGAAAGAAATGTTTTGACATGAGAGGGGAAATTCAGATTCTTGGAAGCAGCATTTGTAATGCAGTTGTGGGTGTTTCGCTGAGCCCAGAAGAGAGAGGAAGGATGTTCATAGATGAGAAAAAAGAGGTAAGAGCAATTCAAAGGGAATTGGGATTAACGTTTGAGAAAAAATATTAATGGGTGTGGGAAAGAATAAAACTTTTGCAGAGAGGTCGGGGAACACTGTTGGTAGCAAATTGTTATAGTAGTGGGGTGGGACTTGCACCAGCATTGGACGCAATAGATCAAATAGCCTAAAGTGCAAATGTTATGTGTCTATGTTGGTGCCAGTGAAAGGATCTGAGCATTTAAGCCTGGGAAAAGAAAAAGAGCAAAGTTTAATGGAAGAGTAGTACAATACATGTTGGATCTTGTTGGGTGGGTGTGCATGTTGGAGAGTATTTTGGAAAACTCGGGTATAAAACTCAGGTTGGAAGAGCCCAGGAGGGTAAATAGATATTGGGTACGGGTTAGGATTAAAGGTGAGGAAAAAAGATAAGAAATCTGTTGAATTACTACGGCAGCCAGGAACATGGTTAAGACGATCAAGAAGTTCAGTGATGTTCAAGATAGTAAAGGATTTGGCAAAAGTGTTTAGTAGATCACCAGAAGAATAGTGGGGCCACTAATCGTAGAGTTTTCCTTACAGCATTACGTTATTTCTTAGGTGAGTCCAGCACCCCAGAGCGGGGGAACAGATAAACCTAATGAATTGTGAAAGGGAACGTCAGAATGAACTTAAGAAGCAGTGCTGTCTTTGGATTGGAGATTAGTAGAGGGGATATTGGAGAGAGTTGGAAAGCACTAGGATTTGGAACGGAACAGGAGGGCGAGGCATATGGAAACTGAATTTCACAGGAATATTGTGAATTTAGCAAGAGAATTGGACCTCTGTTCACTTTCTCTTTCTGTTCCCCGCCCACGCGCTATTTTGAAAGTGGGGGTGAATTTTCGTAACTAGGGGTCATTTTCTTTTCCCAACAGAAGAAACTTCCAAATTTGAGGAGCCTTGACTTATTTAATTGTGAAGTGACCAATCTGAACGACTATAGAGACAGCATGTTCAAGCTGCTGCCGCAGCTCACGTACCTGGACGGATACGATCAGGATGATCAGGAGGCACCAGATTCCGATGTGGAAGGAGATGGTGACTGTCTCGACGACGATGATGAAAACGAGGATGGTTAGCATTTCACTTGAGACATAACCTAGCAACGTGCAATTCAATGGGTGCCTTGGTCTTACTGTGCGCACAGAGACTCAACTGGCCAAATTAGTCTTCAAATGATCTAAATTAACCACATTTTAAAATGCTCTGCGCGTTTCTTGAAATAATTTGCCTAAGAAATTGCTGATTAGAAATTAAAAGAACAATCTGGCACACTGACAAAGCAAAGGGGGACATGTATACCCTAGAGAAAGCGAATAACGTTCACTTTCGTTTCTAATGATTTTAAAATGCAATATACTTTGAGATTGTTTTTAAGTGAATGGGGCTTTATAAATGCAAATTAATATTAATTGTTCTAATTATTTGTATAGCGTAATGAGTAGAAATGAGGCATCCAGTGCCTGAGGCATCTTCACCCAGCACAAGTCAACAGGAGTAGGAGACAAACAAAAATTGAGATACAGAATAAACCTTGAAACTGCTTCTCCCACGGACAAATAGGCTCGTCTTTGCCAATTTGTTAAATCTTCCAGTTCTTTCTAAATTAATCAATATGAAAAGGCTTTTCCTGGTTTTTTTTACTGGTAGTATTTGATAATAATAAAATAATAATCCTTGCATTTGATGTAGCGCCTTATCACATTGTTGAAACGTCTCAAAGCGCTTCACAGTATATACTGTAAAGTATAATGATTGTGTTATTTTGTGGGCGAAACGCGGCAGCCAATTGTGCACAGCAGTGATATTGATTATCTGCACTGTCGTTTGTCACTTTCCTAGGTGAGGAAGAGGATGAGGAGGATGAAGATGAGGAAGAGGGAGAGTTTGACGTCCTGGACGAGGAAGACGATGATGAACTTGATGAAGATGAGGATGATGATGATGATGACAGTGCAGAGGAGGATGTAAGTGGAGTTAATGCACTTAACTAAAGAACATTTAGCAAGAACTTGATGATAATAATATTCCTTGCATTTTAATACAGTGCCTTATCGCGTCTTTGAGATGTCTCAACACACTTAGAGGGTATACCGTAAAGTGAATTGACTGTATAGTTTGTGGGCAAAATGCGGCAGCCAATTGTGCACAGCAATGTCCCGCAAACAGTCATGGATTGAGTGAGAAATTATTATTAATTATTTAATGATGGGTTATTGGGTCAACCCATATAATACTAAGTCGGGAGAATGTCCCAGGTCTGATGTCTGCTCAGTATTGGGTTTGCTAATTGCACAAGAGCTGATAATGGGCACCCTGCAGTTAACTCCAGGGGTATGTGGGGGAGAAGAGAGTGAGTCAAGACATCATTGATCCAGAGAGCTCTTGTCGTCTGCTGGTGAAGTTTTAATCTGAGAGCAATCTTCGTGCCTCTCCTAAAGAAGTCAGAGAACGTCAAATGCAAAGAATGAGCGTTCTGAGAAGACCTTTCATTGCTTTTTTTAAAAAATGTGTTACTGAATTGGGTTGAAAAAAGCATTCAGCCGGAACACTGCAATCCAAACAGAGTCCTGTACCAGGAAAAGTGCCTCGACACATGAAGTACGTCTCCAAACAAATAACCCTGTCAGGCACTAGAACTCAACTCCTTCCCACGGCAGCTGTATACTTAATCCAAGCTATTGGGGATATTTGGTACCAGTTTTGTGAAATGAATAACTAAAAATGATTTGTTTTCAATTGGTCTTCACTTCCACATTATTAAACGATGAGTCCCAATAGGTAATCTAGCCTGAAAACACATCATTAAATTTCACTCCGTTGTTTTTATAGGAGGATGAGGATGAAGACGAAGAGGGCGAAGATGGTGAAGAAGATGGCAAAGGTAATGTCTGCACAGCAATCGCATAATGTAAATGAGCTTGCTGCAAATGGTTAACGCAGAACCATGGTTCCTGAAAATCGTTGTGAATTCAAAAGGCGACTTTAACTTCTGATTGATTTTTTTTCTCCACTGGATTCTGATCTCAAATGGAAGAGGCAAAGGGTGACTCGATAGGTAATTAAGAGAGAGCAATGCTGTAACTGATTTTTAAAACAAAAATGTTCTGTTCACAGAAAACGTCCAAGGCCAGAAACGGAAGCGAGCCCCAGAGGATGACGGAGAGGAGGAAGACGATAGTGACGATGATGAGTTAGGCCAGTAAAGAAATGTATAGACTGTGACTGTGGTTGACATTTGCATCAAGTGGCATATATATGATACTGTATCTGTAGCTAAGGTGATTTTAAAAAGTGTTTCGCGTATGATTCCACTTTAAAAAGGGCATTCGTTGCATCTGATGATGACATAACGACAGGTTGAAGACCCAGGATATTTATTGATTGGCACTGGAAAAGTTGCCTCACGTTAGTCAGGAGTTATACAACAGTTACACTCAGGTCTGATAAACCAAAGTTTTATCATTAAAACTTGTCATTCTCTGCCCTACTTAGGTTTTTATACCTCCCATTGGAGCTTTCCTCACCTTGAGAGAATGCGATATGTCTATCCAGGTGAAGAATATTTCTACCAGTTGCATATTCCCTTTCCCCCCAATCCAATCCATAGCAATCCAAAGAACGGCAGTTTAGGTAACTGGCAGCTTGGGACTAATGCCCTGAATGAACCATTGGTTTCGTAAAGGTGTTTATCTGGTATTCCGGTGCTGATCACAAAGCAATAGCCTCAGATGAATAGGCAAACTGAAGTCACCCAAAGTTTTCTTGAGGTAAGAATTTAACAAAAAAATCTGATCACTATTGCTGAGAGAAATAGATTTTATACTAAACTTGTGCCTTATTATGTAGTTGGTCCAGTGGAAGTACTTTTGACAAATGTAGTTGGATTATTCCATCGTCGATGTGCTCAGTCCGTATGAAGAGGTGTAGCCTAATGACAGCCTATGCAACTGCGATGTGTCAGGAATGCCACCACCTTTGTTTTAAATGATGTTCTACCTCCAGCATTGAAAACGTAAATATGTTGGCATTTCCTCGACCGTACCATACCAGGGAGAAAGTGTTTTAAGAAGCTGGCTTTTTTCAGAAACCAGAATATGCAAAAAAACCTCCTTCTGAAAATTGTAATTAAGGTGTATTTTGCAGTTAGCAGACACAGCTGTCACTCAGTTGTGCCCACAGTTATTTTGGTTCCAATGATTTTTTTAATGCGGTAATCTGAGCTGCTAATACGTAGTTTCAGAGATAGTTACTGGGAGTTCTTATCAATTCAGATAATTCTTATTGTCTGGGTAAAACATAATGTTAATGTACCTTTGAAGACTGGCTTTGTTGTCTTTGGGCAAGAAGGTCCGTAGTGATTGTAATTACTGTATTTAAAACTGACATTGCAATCGGGTGACTTGCCAATCCACAGACACTGAGCCTCGGTACAGTAATTGAACAATTTAGACAGCAGATGGTTTGGGTGTTTCTCTCCCCCCCCCTTCCCCCAGTGTCCTTGTTTTTTAAGCTGGGCCTTGTTTTGGCTGAAAGATATTATCAGCAACACGACCCTTTGCTATGCAAGATGCTGAAAATGCTTCACCAAAACACTCGGTTTTTTTAATAACTATTTGGTTCAACGTTAAGGAGGAATTGGTTGCAACAGTGTCGCCAGCTATTGGATGGGAATCTGATACATGTATACCTGATTTTCGGGAAGTGGTGTCTGACATTCAGTTTTTAATCACAAATGCAAGACATTATTTTACAAGAAGAAGTAAATGGCTATCAAATATTTGTATAAAACTCGGTCAACAGTCTTTATGTATTATAATGGTATATTGAAAAATCAGTTCTAGATACCCATTGAAAAATGGATATTTATAAACTCTGGGACTTTTTTTTAAAACAACCGTAAATGTTGAAATTAGAAACTAGTTAATTTTGTTAAGTTTTGTATTTTAGAATGGTGTGAATTTTTTAGAGGGAAATGATTTTGACTATAAATTCAGTGTAGTAATTTCACAAATGAATCCATTGCCCAAAACTTTTTGAAATGTTGCTGTTCAGGTTATTTCTGCACAAAAACTAGCTTTGGAAGACCTATTTCATGTTATTGTATCTAGTTTTGTTATGAATTTTCAAAATAAACGGGTTTTTAATAAGAAATGTCTTTAAAGCGCTTTCTTTCAGCGCCCGCTTGCTACTTCTCCTAGTTGTCATCATCAGGTGTACACCGCCAGTGGCTATTCATAACAACAACAACAAGATTCCATTTACAGAGCGCCTTTCACGTCGGGAGGACGTCCCAAAGGTGCTGTACAGTTGGGTCAGGACCCGAGCATTGGGGGAAATGGTCAGGGTGAGGGGAGGGAAGAGAGTCGAGAGGAGAGCTGAAGGCTGAAGGTCAAAGAGAAAGGTCCTGAGAGGCCTTGAAGGAGGAAAGGGAGGAAGCGGCGAAGGTACTGGGGGATGGAGTTCCAGAGCCTCGGGGCTGAGAGGCTGAAGGCCCGGCCACCGATGGTAGGGCGGTTGGGGCGGGGGACGTGGTGCAGACCGGAGCCAGAGGAACGGAGGGTACGGGCAGGTAGGTAGGCGGATAGTAGATTGGAGAGGTAGGAGGGAGCGAGGCCGTGAATGGCCTTGTAGGTGAGGATGAGGATTTTGAATTAACAACTTCTGGATAAAGCTATACCAGTTTCGGTCAGCCGGGTGTCTGGCACATGCAGAAACACATCACCGTTGCTTAAGAGCCTCCAAACCAAACTGAGAATTCCATGCATCCCACCTACACATGGAAATCCCAGAGATAGATTGTTGGAATCGAATGTGCACTTTCTCCCTGCTGACCTAATTCTGGAAAGTATTAAATTAAAAGTCCAAAACTATTAAACGCTGTTTAATTTGGAGTGAAAATGAGTTAGAAATTCTAATTCTACTCTAAAATTCTCAGCAACATCACAATGCAGCGGTTCTATTCCTCTGGAGAACTATCGGTGTGAAAGCACACATTTAATTCTGGGTTAGGTTATTGTGCATTAATCTCACAAGAACAGCTTCAAGGAGATTACTTCCTTGCTTTCGTATCTATGTGTACTGTGTGTGTCTGTGTGTATAGGGGTGTTTGCAGTTCAAAGTTCCGAGATCGACTGGTGTGAGAACAAGTTCCAATATTCGGAGAATGTTGCTGAGTTTTACGACACCGTGAGGCTGCAACTTTTAAACCATTTACAATGGAACCAAACACAGTGGCCGGGTTTCATGCTGTGTCTCAGCACAGCTCTCTCTCTCTCTCTCTCTCTCGTCCTTGGTGTTCGTGTCTCTCTCGTTCTTGCTGTATGTTTGTGAGACGCTGCTGTGCGCAATTGGCTGCCACGATCGGCCCTCATAATATGCAGTCTATCCACTTTCCAGTGTATTCCGTGAAGAGCTTCGAGACGGCTGAAAGATGTGATAAGGCACTATAATCAAGTGCAAGGATTATTATTGTGTGTGTGTGTGTCTGTGTCTACACATTGTCAAGGCTCCTGCATAAAAGCTTTGGTCCATTTGCTGAGATCTGTGCTGTTGCACTCCTTTTTTTGAGTCGACCAGAAAAAAAATGTGTCTTAACCCATCGCCATGTTTAACAGTAAAAGCACATGTAGCACTGACAATGGAAGTTAAATAATTGCATTTTTTTTTTAAAAAAACTTTAAATATCTGAAGTAGGTCACAGGAAGCAGGATGTACATTTACGACGACTCCAGAAATAATAATAATAATAATAAATCCTTGCATTTGATGTATTGGTTTTTCACCTTAGGAGGATGTCTCAAGGGATCCTTAAGATTTGCTGTGTAGTGACTGCAATTGCGCAATTGGCTGTCGCATTTCGCCCACAAAATACGCAGTGAAGCGCTTTGAGAGGTCTCGACAATGTGATAAGGCGCTGTATTAAATGCAAGCATTATTATTATTTTCAGGGCAAATGCGGCAGCAACTTTGCGTACAGCATTGTCATGCAAACAGCCTTGAAGTGAATGAACAATTTTTATCTGGGGGCCAGGACACTCCCTTCTCTTTTAATCGATCAATAGAAAAACAGCAGATAAACTGAAATCCATTTGTTATTCTCACTATTATTCCAATTTACAGATTAGCAATTCCAGTTTCTTTATATCTGCCCCTATTACGATGTATCTGGCACACCCCTACGCTCGTGAGAAGTCTGGAGCTGTTCATCTGGTCTGGATCATGTTGATGTTGATAGGTGAGTTATACAGTAACTTAATCATAAGAATGATCCAAATGCTTGGACTGAAGGCTGTGACCTATTCGGTCTAATTTACAGGGGTCAGCCTGGCTCAGTTGGTAGCACTCTCGCCTTCAAGTCCGAAGGTTGTGGGGGTCAAACCCCGTTTCGGGATTTTGAACTTGTAGTTCTGACTGACACCAGTGCATTGCGGGGGGCGGGGGAACGCTGCATTGTCAGAGGTGCCGTCCTTCCAATGAGATGTTGAAGCCCAGATCTCATCCACCTCCAACAATGCAGCACTACCCCAGCAATGCACTGGAGTGTGTAAGCCTCGACTGAGAGCTCAAGGGGGTTTAAGCGCTCGGGGACGCTACCCTGAACGCGGGGAACAATATAAATGTCCCTTCGTACGTCTTGAACCCACAACCTTCTGGCGTAGGAGACGAGAGTCCTATTCAACCACACCTTCTAATGGCTGCCAACATCGCAATAAAGCGAGGAGCTCAAAGGTTAGATCTATTAAAATTTTTATTTTAATAGGATTTTTCTCAACTTATTACCGCATGACTCTGAGTTACTTTGGCCAGCCGCCACTGGATGAAATATCAATCCTGTAGTTGCCAGCCGCTGCGTACACACGGTGGTTCCCCAACGGGCATTTCCCAATAAATTCATCGAAGACAGGTAATTATTGCGTGAACTGCCTTCACTTGGTTTCCATTTCTATTCATCTTTTTTGCTGAAATAATTGTCAACGTAGAAAACAAACGTATTGACAATTTCATGATACAGTGACCCATAAGAGTTGTCCTATAAATAATGATAATAATGATAATGAGACATCTCAAAGCTCTTTGCAGAATACATTGTAAAGTGGATTGATTGGCTGTGCATCCGGTGGGTGAAAAAAATAATGACACAAAATAATACATTCTCAAAACAAGAGCGGTTTTTTTTTTTGCTGTGACTGGAGCTGATAGCCACACAATTGCTGTAGAGGGATTGCTCCAGTATTTGATCCATGGAAGGGCTTTCCTAGCAGCAGAGTCAGAGTATAATGCCTGCGATTAGTTCACCTTTCCTTCTCACATTATGGTCAACACAAGGAAATCCTTTAAAAAAATCACAAACTTTATAATAATAATAGTAATAATAATCCTTGCATTTGATATAGCGCTTTTCACGTCGGGAGGACGTCCCAAAGCGCTTCACAGAACACACTGTAAAGTGAATTGACTGTATATCTGTGGGCGAACGCGGCAGCTAATTGCGCACAGTAATGTCCCACAAACAGTCGTAGATTGAAAACGACCAATTTATTATGGTTTTTGGTTTTTGGAGGATTATTATTAGGCTCTGTGTGGAGTAAGGAAACTTGCCCAAGGTTTCGCCCTCTGCCTGGAATTGAACTCAGGTCTCTCACTTGCAAAGCGAGTGCTCTAACCACTGAGCTACGGGACTCCACCCTGTTATCCTGAAGAGGTTTTTTTTTCCCCCCCCACCCCCCGCGAAGTAAATTTTGGATTCCGTTGCTGGCTGAGATATATAAACCCTGCCGAGGTTAATCCTTGACTTGACTTTCATGTGGCCAACGACACATCGGTTCTTTGATCGCTGTGAAGGTTTTCAACGCTTCTTATGCCTTGGTGAACGTCGATTCGTTTGGGCTCCCTGATGCGTCGCAATTTTGCAACAAGGCCAGATGTGCACCCCTTTCATTCACGGGCACCATTGTTCTTCCAGACGTGTTTATATATCTCCCCATCAGCAAGTTCCTTCCCAACATTTGGAAACAACTAAGCATCTCGACGAAAAGTGGGAGTCAGCTGAGCGGAAAATTTAACTTAGGTTCGTCTTAATTTCTTTGAATGTCCCATTAAAAAAGAGGGTCGCTCAATCCGCGACTGTTTATGGGGACGCTGCTGTGCGCAATTGGCTGCCGGGTTTCACCCACAAATATACAGTCAATTCACTTTACAGTGTATTCTGCGAAGCGCTTTGAGATGTCTAGAAGACGTAAAAAGCGCTACGTCAAATGCAAGCATTATTATTATTCTTATTATATTCTGTGAAGCGCGTTGAGTGGTCTAAACGGCACAATAAGGCGCTATATCAAATGCAAGCATTATATGATTTTAAATGTGCTTTATCTTTCTTTTCACTCCTCGTCTCTCCAACTGCACTGATGAGTAGAGTGCTGTCGGTGGTCAAACCCACAGTTAACACTTATGTTCTGAATAGTGTTGTCCTGCACGTTCTCTACCTGGTTGTGCTGGAAACAGAAAGGTAAGAACTGCGTTGAATCATTTCAAATGACATGAGTCGCAAGATCAAGTTTAGTGCTCAGTCAGACTATTGATGGCCTGGAGGCATTCTGGAATGCTGCAATCCTGCCTATGATTGCACAGTTACTACATGTGAGCGTCATGTACTATTACACGAGAAGCCCTTTCGAGACATTTCAACATTGTAGGCGCTCGCATCGAGTGCAAATGTTATTTTTTTTGTGAATATAAATCAATAATAGAATGTAAAATAAATAATGTAAATAAAATGTATAAATAAATAATGTCAATACATTTATAAATAAATAATTTTAATAAATCCTAGAAGAGGATCTCTTTACACTGGAACTAAAGCGGTCGCTGCCGGTGTAAAAGAGCTTGATTTTAAATGAGTTCTTTCAATCTGCATTGGAGGCTGGATTTCCCTAACAGAGTCTTGTCATTAATCAGCTAAACTGATCAATTGACTTCCTTCTTAAGAAAGAGGGAGATTGATAGCAGCTTCTATCCGAGTCTTCAAAATATGTCTCCTCTCAGTTAATATGGAACAACATTGACACCCAGATAAAGGTGGATAGTGCAAATAATAATAATAATAATCCTTGCATTTGATATAGCGCTTTTCACGTCGGGAGGACGTCCCAAAGCGCTTCACAGAACACACTGTAAAGTGAATTGACTGTATATTTGTGGGCGAACGCGGCAGCCGATTGCGCACAGCAATGTCCCACAAACAGTCGGAGATTGAAAATGACCAATTTATTATTGTTTTTGGTTTTGGAGGGATTATTATTTGGAGGGAGTCAACCAACGAGAAGTAAATTAGGGAGGAAGCGATTTGCAAAAAATAAGATGAGCTCATCTGATTACTATTACAGAATGATCTGAAATTGATCTGCGCGTGTATGTGTGTGCGAGTGTGCGTGTGTGTGCCTGCACATATGTGTGTGCGAATGTGTGAGTGTGCGAGTGCATGCGTGTGAGTACGTGTGTGCATGCCTGCGAGTGCGTGTGTGTACATGTAGGAGTGTGTGTGCGTGTTTGTGTGTGTGTGAGTGCGAGTGTGTGTGCGTGTGTGTGTGCGAGTGCAGTGTTACTGGGGGGGGTGGGGGGGGAAGAAAGGACCTTTCAAAAGTATTTCAAAAGATTTTGCATTTGATTACATCTACATTGTCCGAATTCTACGACCTGGATTATGCTTATCTATCAAGAACAGACAAGATCGATTTCTGTTAGGAAACAATATCTGGGGATACAGTATATAGTTTGGACACGACATGTCCAAGCGACTGCCAGGATGGTGGAAGGCGAACTCGATTGACGTTGGTCTTCTTTCGTAATTCTGCCTATTGTACTGATTGCAAGACCTTTTTCTGCTACTTTGACTTAATTCCGAACAGATACACAGATCGCAGAATAATTCACGTTGCCCTTGTGACGGTGGCTTGGCTGTGGCAACCTCCGGCTGGCTTAAGCGACCTCTTCTTTTCGGGTCTTTTGGCAACGGATCAACTTTTGCTCCCTTCGCAGCTTCTGGCGAGAATTCTCACGCTTGAACAGGTTACCGCCTCGCAGAATCGTGGAGTGTGCAGGATCCGGACGAGATCATTTGTCAGGGCTCAAAGTAGAGCAGATTGACTCTATTGACTGCTAAATTCCTGTGCGCAATTGGCTGCCGCGTTTCGCCCACAAAATATACAGTCAATTCACTCTGCAGTATATTCTGTGAAGCGCTTTGATGCGTCTCATTTACGTGATAAGGCCTTATATCAAACACAAGGATTATTGTTATTATTATCATTATTATTTCAGAGTGTCCAAAACTTAGCAAACCTTTGAATTCAGTCTTAAGTCTGAATCCACTTTGTCCCCGCTTTCGTTCTTTGAAGAACTTCAACAAAACCGGCTGCAAAATTAAGGGCTGTATTTAAGAAATTCTGGGCGCTCTGAAATGTTACATAAATAAAATAAATCTAGTCCCAGCTGGAGTTTCGCCCTGATGTGGTGAGGTTTGTATGTGTCATTTCTATCGTGTAATATACTCAATGCTTTTTGAAACAAAATGTGTTGAGAATCCTAAGCGTGCATACACCACTTCTTGTTTGTTAAGGGCTATCAAGGGATGTGGGGCAGTTGAGGTACAGCTCAGCCATGATCCAACAGAATGGCGGAACAGGCTCGAGGGGCTGAGTGGCCTACTCCTAGTTCTTATGTCCTATAACGAATCCTGCTTCTTACCCTTACAGGCACGCACTGATGAATGTGGCTATCGTCCATGCTGCAACACTGTTTGCCTACTTTGATGCGCTCAGTGAAATCCAAGACATCAAGACGGAAGTGAAATATTGGCCCGTGAACTCAGGCTGCGTGGGAATATCGTGCCTCGCTCTGCAGAGCAAAGCCCAATTGCTTAAGTCCTGCTGACGGATTTTTAAATGATGTCAAACTCTCTCTCTCTCTCTCTCTCTTTCTCTCTATTAACCAGTGTTTGCATTGTACAACAGGGAGTTCCTAGAGGGACGTTACTGTTGGGAGGTGGGAAGATAAAGAGATTGTTCAGAACGTGATGCTTTGGTTTTTAGTTTATGCTTCACAAATGTCATATCTTTGTCTCTCATGCAAGGATTATTATTATTATTATTATTATAGGAGCCCTGAGTACGTTTTGGCCATGTTAAAATTACACAAGCTCACATGAGGTGTGTTGGTTGTGAGAGGACATGTTGTTAGACCTCCTTTGAAGAACTCACTTACTATGTTCACTGTCCCCTGTTTGTTTTCATTCTCAACACCCAGCATCAACCTGGCTCAGTTGGGGGCACTCTCACCTCTGAGTCAGAAGGTTGCGGGTGCGAGCCCCACTTTGGGGCGTTCACGCAGGCGGCGTCCTTCGGGTGGGACGTTAAACCGAGATCCCATCTGCGCCTGTTCAGGTAAGAAGGATCCTGAAGCCCTCTTCGAAAAGAGAAGGGACGGCTATCCCGGTGACCCGGGCAACAGCCCCCACAGGTAGTATCGGTCATTCACTTCATGGATGGTTGTGGGATATTGCTGCGCGCAAATCGGCTGCCGCGTTCGCCTGCGCAATGCACAGTCACGGCGCTCTGCGGTCAGTCCTGCGAAGCGCTTCGTGAAAAGCCCCGCAACTGCGTCGGGCACAAGGATCGTTGCCGCGGGGTTGGGGCCGAGGACGGGGCTGGGCGTTGACACGCTCTTCCCAGCAGGTGGCAGCCACACACCCACCATCTCAGCAGGAAACGGGTCCAGGCTCTGTGGACACCGAAGGAAGGAGAAGGAACCGCGTAGAACCTATCGATAAACAGCTCCACGTGGAGAGGCGGGCGAACAGTCCGACCATTTTTCACGGACGTTTGCCAGTCCCACTGCAGGATTAGCTGCCGCTGATGTTACAGACTGGAAAGCGTGTCTGAAACATGTTTTAACCGCACACAAACCCGCACGCCCCGAATTATTATTATTATTATTATTATTATTATAAGTAAATAAAATAAACGAAACGCCGAGCGGTTGAGAACGATTCAATTATTTTGCACGTCGCAGAGAAGCTGCTGGGTTAAATATTATGATGATCTTTGCTTTTAACAGACATGAGAAAGCACTGGATGTAGTTTCCAACTGGTTCAGTCGAGCTGGCCGGCACGTCACAAATCGTGCACAGGTCCTTCCGCCAATTAGCTGATAAGAAAACCCGAGGGCTTGAGATAACAGCCGCTTGAACGTGTTAACTGGAATCTGTTCATCAACACGCTCGTAACCAAGGCTTGGTCTACACCTTGATCGCTGTCCGGAAAGATAAGCAGTTAGTTAAAGCTCTGCGTTTTCAATGAGTGGAACCACTGTGCAAAGGGCAGGGTTAGAATAATAATAATCCTTGCATCTGATATAATGTCTTGTCACATCATTGAGACGTCTTAAAGCGCTTCACAGGATGGACTGTAAAGTGAAGTGACTGTGTAGTTTGTGGGCAAGATGGGTTGTATTTCTAGCCTGTGGGAAGCAATGCTCGTGGATTTGTCCTGGTCACCATCCAACCCATAGCCACCTCTCAAGAGGGCTCAAACTTGTCAGATGTTTGATAACCAGCTCGTGCCTACGCTCCTGGTTGGGAGTTGTAAGAAGTGCGTCTGGGACTCAGTTGATTCCAAGGTCACTCGCCTAACAAAGGATTATTCGAGTCGATCTTCAGACTTGCTAGTCCGGTTCCTGAGCTAAGCAGATCTGCCGTCCTCCCAAGATAATGTTGAAGACGAACCCGCCAGTGTGGCTCATTAGCAGGACATGGAGTAGCAGATAAGGCAATGGTGTGGAGCAGGTAAAGGTGACTGAAGTGGATTGCCTTGTAAAAGAGCCATCACAGACACAATGGGTTGCCTTCTGTGCTACAAAATGTGCTATAAATTTTTATGGTTCTATGGTTCTGACACAGTGAAATTGGAAACCACGGGATTGAGGGTGTGGGGAGGAGTGGGGAGGCTTCTAAAGAGAGTTGGAAATTGTCTGAATCATTTAGCGGATGCTGGAATCGGTGGTAAAGTACGCGGGTGGCTGTTATTTGCTCTTCAGCCTCCAAAGTTGCTATAAATTTTTACCCTGGCCATTGATCGCGACTGATTTTAAGCTCCAGCAGGAAGCAGAAAACGAACACACAAGGTGACGAGAGAAAGAGGTTTGGCAGGACCCAAATTCCTAAGGACGCACCCTTTTAACTAGCAGGTGAAATGATGTCCTTCTGAAGGACAAACAATCATAGAACGTTTTTCTCAAATGATATTCTTCCAAGATATACTCCTGCCTGTTANCCCCCCCACCCCCAACCCCGTCGTAAGAAGTACTGTATCGCGAATGGAACCCTTTAAGGAAAACACAAAGACATTGGAACCTTCCATTATCTGGAGAGCAATGTGAGCTCATTTTGAGACGTCCCAACCCACGTTGATAAGGCGCTCTATCAAATGCAAGATTAATTATTACTTTTGCTTACAAACAAAACGGTCACTGCACCTGCAATAAAATGCAGCCCGAGGAGAGAGACCCGTGGTGGGGGTGAGCGGGGCAAGAGGGGCTTCGACCAACAGTTGGGCGTCAAACCGGTCACCGAAGTTTCTCCCTGAAGCAGAGCGCACGTCGGTGGCAGGTTGGCAAGGATGGCCCCCTGAGGTGAGACAGCACCCAAGCAGGGAGAGCTCCCGTCTTGTCGACATGAGAGTAATTACGAATAAAAAGGTAATGCCTCGCCTCTTTGCATTCTGTGGCAGCCTTGAAAGGGTTAAGGGTTGGGTCTCAGGCCTCAGTGGCAACACACCCTGGGATGTCGTCTGACTTGATCTGAGCAACTATTTTGCTGCACTTCCACCTGAGCGAGTAATTCACTACACCTGCTGCTGGGTTGGCATTTCACTGCACCTTCCGACACCTGTACGACTGGTATCTTTCTGTTCGCGAAACGTGCGGAAACGCTTCATGACTAATCCTAACGTCGCAGGGCAATAACGTAGCTCTATTTGTTCTGTCGACCTGCGAGATTGCCTTCCAATGATTCATTAATTTTGTTCCTCTCGCTCTCTCGCTCTCTCTCTCTCTCACTCACTCTCTCTATCTCTCTGTAACCAAGCACAAGGTCTTCAATTCACTGCAGATCCATTTCAGGGCTTATATTTTGGAGGAGAGCCTCCTGATCTCACCTTGCAGTGAAAAGTCAGGATGAGCGGCGAGATGTTTGAGTATCAGAGCTCGGAGGTCGACTGGTGCGAAGAGAATTTTCAGTATTCGGAGAAAGTTGCAGAGTTTTACAACACGGTGAGTGCTGCTAACAGATTGTATGTGTTTCGCTGCTGCCTACTTAACGTTTGTAATGCAATAAAAGAAGCAGCAGCAGCCGTTCGAAGTAGGTGGTATTTACTTTTCTGGAAACATCACCAGCGATCCGGCCAGGTGAGGACTATTTAGCTTTGAAACATAAGATTCCGCAAATTATGGATGAGCGCATATGTTTGCGGGGACGCAGCCGTGCGCAATCGACTGCAGCGTTTCGCCCGCAAAATGCGCAGTCAATTCGCTTGACGATATACTCTGCGGTGCGCTTTGAGAAGTCCCAATGACGTGATAAGGCGCTATATCAAATGCAAGGATTATTATTGTTGTTATTATTGTTTTGGGGGCGAACGTGGCAACCAGTTTCGCACACATCAACGTTCCCCCAATCAGCCATGGAGTTAATGATCGTTGGCCGGGGCTACTATTGTAAAAAGTATTTGTCGAAATCATGGTCTTGTGTAAATCTGAGTGTTGCCCCGTACGGTTCCTCAATTTTGGGATGATTGCGGAGGAGGGTAAAAATTGGGACGGAAATCAGTTCGTTATTCTCACTTGTTATTTTAATCTGCAGATCAGCAATGTGATTTTCTTTATCACGGCTCCCATAATGATGTACTTATTGCATCCGTATGCGCAGAAGAAGAGCAGGGCTGTCCATCTCATTTGGATCATGGTGATATTTGTAGGTGAGCAACGTGACATGTCAGCAAAGCCAAGTTTCTATCAGTGACGACCTTAACCTGGGCGATAGCACTCAACCAAAGAGAATTTCATGACAGTCCCTAACGTTTCGCAATTTTAGACCTACTTCCAGCGATAACATCAAAACTCCACACAAGTGCATTTCATACAGTGCGTTAACCACAAAATACACGGTCACTGCACATGCTGTGAAGCGCTTTGAGACGCCTTCCTAATGATATCAAAGGCATTGTATCGAATGCAACAATTATTATTACTATTATAACCCCAGCCTCATGCTCTTGGTCCAGCTATCAATTCATTTAACCCAGATTTGGGGAACAGAGATCTGTGCTGTAAACCTCTATGGTTCTACGTAAAAGTGTGAAGGTCATTCAGTCCATCGTGTCAGTGTTGCTCTTTGAGAAGAACGCACCATTCAGTCTCGCTTACCTGCCTTTTCCGCAATCCCCTGCTCTTTAAGTATCTGCCCAGTTCCCGCCTGAAAGCTAAAATGGATCCTGCCTCAACCATCACACCCGAAAGGATGTTCCACACCCTAACTACTCTCTGTTCTGTTTTACTTTGCTCAGCCGGGTGTCTGACACATACTCAAACCAGACTGAGAGTTCCACGTACGCTACTTGCGCATGGTCTAAAAAAAATTCTTCTCTACCTTGTTGAGCAACTTAAATTGATGCTACCGATGGAGCATTGCCCACCACACCCCCACACACACCCCCCACCCACACGCAGAAGACTCGAACTGAGAACAAAACTATTTTAAAACTGACATTTAAACAAAACAAGATGGAAGGGAAAGTAGAGTAAAAAAAAAACATTAAAATAGTCGGGGTCACTCAATCCCCGACTGTTTGTGGGGACGCTGCTGCGCGCAATTGGCTGCCGAATTGCACCCACAAACTATACAGTCAATTCACTTTACGGTCTATTCTGTGAAGCGCTTTAAGACAACAACCTCAACAACAACAAGAACTTGCATTTCTATCGCGCCCCTCACGCAGGGTAGAGTCCCAGAGACGTCTCGAAGAGGTGATAAGGCATTCTATCAAACGCAAGGATTATTATCAGAATCCCCAGTTGATATGAATGATAATAACTTCAACCATATCGCCACAACAGGAATATTCTCAACATACTACCACATGACTCTGAGTTACGTTGGTCAATTGCTGGATGAGCTGTCCATTCTGTGGGTGTTGGCAACCGGGTACATGCTCTGGTTTCCCAGGAGACACTTCCCAGGATTTATCAAAGACAGGTAAGCAATGGTGAGGTTTCGCCATGTGTGTGTCAGCGTGGCCAGAGTTATTGAGTTTCATGCTGGAAACATTGCCATTGTCAAACACAGTGGCGTCCTGTAGCTCAGTGGTTAAAGCACTCGCACTCGCCTCGCAAGCCAGAGGACTGGGCAGGGCAAAACACTGGGCAAGTTTCCCTACTCCACACGCCTCTGTTTACCTGGCAGTAAGGAGAAACCTGATTGTTAGTCGATTGGCAGATCGTTTTTCCAGGGGTAATAATCCCTCTCAAAAAAAATACTACTAATAATTTGGTTACTCTATCCACGACTGTTTGCGGGGACGCTGCTGTGCGCAATTGGCTGCCACTTGTCACCCACAAAATATACAGTCAATTCACTTCACAGTATATTCTGTGAAGCGCTTTGAGACGTCTCGAATACGCGATAAGACGCTATATCAATTGCAAGGATTATTATTATATCTCCTTTGTATTAATCAGATCATCTGATACGAGGAACTATTGCTTGCTTGTTCCCTTACTGGGACCTAATCTACGTGTCTGAAAATTGAAATAAATATTTCGGTCCAATGGTGATTAATGTTGATTTAACGGCCAGTTTAACAACTTCAAATGGAAAGAAAACAATCACAAAAATCAACAAGATGCCCGTTTCGAGCAGCAAAGATGTATCTGCACTGATTGCAAGCAGTAAATGCTGTGGGATATTTTAGTCAAGTTCTGTGACTAAAATTAATTTAGCCACTCCAACACTGTCAAGTAAACGATGCAACCAGAGCTAACACAGGCTGTTGAGACGGCTCCATAAAAAGCCTAATGGCTTCAACCTATCTTTAACATCTTATCGATTATTGGAACCTTTGATCCACTTTCACACTTGTTTCATTCATAAACGTTGAATGGAACGCTCATCAAAACTGCACCATCTGGAATTCTTATTTATACTGAGGGTGTTTCCACTATTGTCGATGTAGGGAGTGTTATAAATAAGGGGTCAGGCAACACTGTACTCTGATAATAATTGGGCAAGAGAGGAAAGCGATTTGTGTAAACTTAGTGTCAAAACAGATCATTCATAATAATAATCCTTGCATTTGGTACAGTGCCTGTCACGTTGAGAGGACCTCCCAAAGCACTTCACAGGATCAAGTGACTGTGTATTTTCCAGGGAACACAGCGACCCAATTGCGTTCAACAGTGTCACACAAACAGCCATAGAATGTGTGACTAATTTGACTTGGCGATTTGTTGGCCAAGACACGGAGAGAAAATCCCTTCTCCTTTCGAATAGTGCCATGCGATCTTTAACATCCTCCTCAACAAGCAGAAGGGACCTCGGTGTAATGTCTCATCCGAAGGTCCACACCTCTGACAATGCAATACCCCCCCCCAGGCTCCAGCACTGCATAGGAGCGTCATCTTAGATACTATATGAGTTCAAGCCCAGACATGAGACATGAACCCACAACCTACTGACTCAGAGATGAGAGTGTTTCCTTTGAGCCTGAGGGCGTAAAGAAAGCAGACACTGGAACAAATGGTATCACGATTAATTAGTTAGTGTGAAGCCTTGGTGTTCTGCTTGTCACTTGTCCTTCGCTCTCCTCACCAGCCTCCCCGGCTCCACCCTCCACAAGCTCCAACTCATCCAAAACTCTGCAGCCCACATTCCCACCTTTAGGATGAGATGTTAAACCGAGGTCCCGTCTGCCCTTCAGGTGGATGTTAAAGATCCCATGTTCGAAAAGAGAAGGAGTTTCTCCTGGTGTCTTGGCCAACAATCCCCCAAATAAAATTGTCCGCTCGCTTCTTGTTGTTTCTGTGTGCAAATTGGCTGCTGCCTTGCCAACAAATACACAGTGAAGGCTTTGAGATGTCCTCTCACTGTGTATAAGGTATTATATCAAATGCAAGGATTTATTATTGCCTCCAGGCTGGATTCAACCAGCTCACAGGATCACAACAGATCAATTGTAAGATCCTTGTAACGACAATTCCCCTTATTACTTCTGCAAATCTCTCCCCACCTTATTCTCCTGCCCTTGCTTTCCACCGGTTCATATTTCTAGTCTGTCACCCACTAATCACTAACCTCCATCCCACCATTGATGGCCAAGTTCTCAGCCACTACACCTGGCAAACTCTATTTGCCTTGCCCCCCCACCCCCCACCCACCCCACACACACACAACTCTCTTTCTGCCTTCAACGTATGTCTTTGACCATGTTTTTCATCAACATATATTTTTGCTCCCTCCGGTGGCTCAAGTCGTCAATCCCAGGTGAAATGACACGATGTAAATGCAAGTTGTTGTGTTTCAGTTCCTAGGCCCCTAACGTCTGGAATCGTCCCACCTCACGCCCTCTCTTCCAGTCTTTAATAAGTCCAGCCTCAAGTTCCTACCTCTTCAAATGCATCCACCGCCACCTTGCGCCTCCTTTCCTTTCCACCTTGCTCAGCGTCCAACTCCGTCCCTGTAAAGCGCTCCAAGACATTAACCTACGTTGTATGAGTGCAAACTGTTGCATGTTGTAAGAGAGCAGGGTACATTTGCAATAGGTTCTCTGTGCCTTTGAATGACCATTTTTTAAAAATAAAAAAACAACTCAAGGAAGCAGCAGGTAACAGATGCGCCTGTTGTTCATGCCCAGTTTTCTGTCTCTGTTGTTTCAAACGTGAGACGTTGATTGTGGAGCGATTCGAGATGTTCTCAGCTGCTTCAGAGAGCAATTTCTTTCTTAAAAGCTAAGAGCACGCAAGGCACAAGCCCGGGGGACGTTGCAAATCAATAGATGAATGATAACTGAACTCGCTCATCCGGAAAGGCACTGTTACTCTCACGTGTTTTCAAATCACTTCATTCTCTCGCACCTCCCTGCCTATCCGACCTGCTTACCCCCCCACTCCACCACCCGCTGCCTCCCCTCGGCTGGCTCCGACCTCCTAATGGTCCCCTGGTGCTCTTCGTTCCTCCATCGGTGGCCGTGCCCTCAGCTACTCCGCCCCAAAACTCTGGAACTCTCTCCCTCGATCCCTCTGCCTTGCCCCCTCTCTCCCCACCTTCCAAATCCCGCCTGAAGACCTTCTTTTCTGATCGTGCTGACGGTCACCTCACCCCCTCCCTCTTCCCCCTTGGCTCGTTGTCAGACTCCTTCACTGTGAAGCGCTCCAGGACGCTCTTGGGCCTGAAGGGCGCCATATCAAGTTGTTGTTGTTGTTGTTGTTGAACGTCTCTGACCATTAGAACAGAAACTAACTTCCCTGAAATAGTCTTGCGATTCATTTCAATGTTTTTCTTTCTCGTCCTCCCCAGGAAACATTTCTCGCTGATTGTCTTTCCTGCCACGTTGCTGAGCACCATTCTGTCGTTCATCAAACCAACCGTCAACGCTTACGCGCTGAACAGTGTATCGGTGCACGTTCTATATGTGCTGTCGCTGGAGATGAAAAGGCAAGGCCTCAGCCGCAGCTCGTCACTCGTACGCAGAGTCGATCTGAGACGACAGTGATAACCTTCGCATTTCGCGCAGCACCTGATCACGTCGCAATGTCTCGAGACCCATCACAGTAGTTACTGCTACACGATATATGCAGTCGATTTCGCCCACAAAATATCCAGTCAATTCACTTTACAGAATGTTCTGTGAAGCGCTCTGAGAGGTCTCGAAGACGTCATAAGGCGCTATATCAAATGCAAGGGCTTTTCTTCTTATTTTCTTATTATTACTGCTCAGTGTGCTGACTGCATATGTGGATTAACCCAGGATTGCTGCTCGTACCCCACTCTCCTCATCGGTGACTGAGCTTTCAGATTCTGCACCCGGAACCCCTGGAGCTCTCTCCCTCCCTCCACCACTGTCTCACGGCATCTCTATCTGGACTTTGCGTCCTGCGTGAAAACCTACCTCTTCGACCGCGCCTATAGTCACCTCCCCAACCCCTCCCCACTCAGCGAATGAACCCCGTCATTGTGAAGCACTCTGAGACGTTATCCTACATGAAGGGTGCTATACCTCCTAACACCCTGCCAATCTTTTTACTCCCTCTGGCCTGCTTCATGTCCCCCTGCCTTGCCCGACTCACCATTGGCGGGCCGGCCTTCAGCCTCTCTGCCCCCGCCCTCTGGAACTCCATCCCACAGTCCCTCCACCTCACCCCCTTCCTTTGCCTCCTTCAAGACCCTTCTCAAGACCCACCTCTTCGACCTCCTGTCCCTACCCTCCCAGCCCTCCACCCCTCCTGATCCCAACCACCAGCTCGGGTTCGGATTCCTGACTGTCCAGCGCCCTGCGGACGTCCTCCTGACGTGAAAGGTGCTCCGCAAACAGAATTTGTTGTTGCCATATAAAAATGTCACTGAAGTGGAACCGGGTTGAGGAGTGGAGCCTAAACGGCTATTTGAAATGTCCATTGCTCTGCATCGATTTCAAAACGATCTTAACATTAGCCTCGACGTCTTTTTCGGACAGTTGCACAGATCGGAAGATAATTCACGTTGCCTTTGTGACGGTGGCTTGGTGGGCCGTGGCGATCTCCTGTTGGCTAAGTGACCGCCTCTTTTGTTCGTTTTGGAAATGGATCAACTTTTGCTACCTCCACAGCTTCTGGTAAGAATCTCACAATATAACAGTCTTGCCAATAGAATGATAATAATAATCTATACTTGCAGTTAATACAGCGCCCCACCACGCCTTCGAGATGTCTCAAAGCGCTTCACAGAATATGCTGTAAAGTGAATTGGCTGTATATTTTGTGGGCGAGACGCGGCAGCCGACTGCGCACCTCAGCGTCCCCGCAAACGGTTGTGGATTGAAGTGACCAAATTATTATTGTTATTAGAGTTGTCTTGCTGGTATGATTTCATTTCCCTCCCTTCCTATTATTCCCCCTCCTCTCCTGAGGGTATTGACTTGTCCTTCTTCATACGACACGGTGCGTGCGCAGCAAAGCCCTATTCGTTGGTCTGTGTTTCCCTCTTACAGGCACGTACTGATCAACGTGGCTGTCATCCACGCTACAACACTGTTTGCCTATTTTGATGCGCTCTACGAAATTCCAGACATCAAAATGGAAGTGAAGTATTGGCCCGTAAACTCAGGCTTGCTGGGGATACCGTACCTCGCTGTCCAGAGCAAAGACCAAATGCGAAAATCTTGCTGATGAATTAAAATGATGCTCAACTCTCTCTATTACCCAATGTCTCCTGATGAGATGTTCCTGAGAGAGTAATACCATCAGGTGGAAAGGTAACCTATGTGTTCTAGTTAACCACAGTTTTGTTTCAGGTCATGCGAAACGGCTCTGATATTTTGGGATCACGTTAAAACGTGAGGTGCTGTCTAAGGAATTTTGTTAGTCTCGAAGCTGTTTAGTGCATTCTAATGGGACGTGTTTCTACACTCTGCCCAGTGTAAGCCTGAACACAAGAGCACAGGGCTAAACTACATACACCGCAAATCAACTCGAGTGTAAAATGCGGAACGTACTACTACAACAACAATAAATTACACTTGTGCAGTGCCTTTCATGTCGGGAGAACATCCCAAGGCGCTGGACAGTCAGGGATTTGGAGCCTGTAATGCAATAATATCATATCACACACTGCATTTTTCATCCCAGTGCGACGTATCTATCAACTGTCGGGTGATGTCAAAGTTGAGTTTGTTCTCATTTTAACTGGAGAATAATTGGCCACCAGCAGTAGAGTGAGAATGTAAATCCGTGTAATCTCTCTCCAAAAGCTAACTAACCATAAAGGGATCACTTGTGGAGTATATCTTGATTGATTTCTTATCTTGAAGGTTTGCCCCGAGCTCAACCCCTTAATCCATTGCCCATTAATCCACCCTTTGTAATGGGAGTGGATTAATCCTGATACTCTCGTTCCTGCTTTGTTTACTCATCCAGGAAGGCCAAACACGGGCCCGCCTTAATCTGATCGATTCAAGGAATAGTGCAGGTAACACAGGTGATTTGTGAGAAATTTATGGTTAGTTACCTATTATCGGATAATCTTACACAAATATGATCATGTGCTTAACCATTGGTTGGTGGAACAGGTACTCTGGAATATAAAAAAAGTACTGTTTAGATCAGGAGTCCAACGATCACAACTTAGTAACCACTTCACTGTTTGTTTGCCACTGAATGAATGTGAAACTGATCTGTCCTCCAGCGCAGAACAAACCATAATATGGTGTTAATTTTATCCATAAAAGCCCCATCAGATTTGCCATTTCATATGTACAATGACTTAAGATGATTTGAAAGCTTCGCCCCTTTCAACAGATTCTTCTACCAGAGGGAGGAGTTGACCACTATCTAACCAGTCAACTCCTTTTCTTAATTTAAATACAGTAAACCTCACATGAGTCGTATCAGTTGGGATTTATTATGACTTGTTTCGCCCACAAAATATACAACACAATACAGGAAAAATATGAAATTACATTTGTGCAGCGCCTTTCACGTCAGGAGGACGTCCCAAGGTTCTGGGACAGACAATCCACTTTACAGTATATTCCTGCGAAGCGCATTGAGACGTCTCGAAGACGTGAAAAGGCGCTATATCAAATGCAAGGATTGTTATAATTATTATTATTGTTGTGTAAAGTAGGAGTTATGTCAAACGTGCATAGAATTCAAACTCTCGAAAGGGAGATGTATGACTGAGGCGATTATACGACTTATACAGATCAGACTTATTCGAGTATTCCTTATACGGTCATATCACCCCCCCCCCCCCCCAAACCTCCTCTGTCTAAGGAATATCAGTCAGAGTATTCAGACTCTCATTACACCTAAATCCCTTTCTATTAGATTTTGTAAACTTGTTTACAGGACACACTGATGTGAGTTGTTTTGTATGATCCGTTTGAAATTTGTCTGAAATGCTGTACTCTGTCCAGCGCCTTGGGACGTCCTCTCGACGTGCAAGGCGTTATACAAATGTAATCTTGTTGTTGTTGTTGTTGTTGTTGATCTGATTACATTATAACTGTATCACAGGATCAAGACTTGAATGTTATTTTACTACGAGCTAAAAGGGTGTATATATTTTTTACAAATAAAAACCGTTGAAATCACAATGAACTGAAAAACGTCATTGCAAATGTGCTGAACTTGATAGGAAATGCCTCAAACCGTCAGCTCTAAGAAGCCATCTGTTTTGCGTTAAGAAACCGATAACGGAAATGGGACACAAGACATGAACGCAGGCACATCAAGGCCAGGAAAAGACTATTGTGGTGAAAAGATTATTCCATAGACAGTGGGTGGTTAGAGGGGCTCAGACCACCCCTCCCCCCCCACCCCCTCCTCAAATCTATCTACTCTTTAAGGGGAGGTGAACTGTAGATAGATGTCACCCTCCCCCTCCACCTCCCTTCCTCCCACCTCACCGCACAGACTCTGTGCCAGCCTCTTCCTCCTCAGTGCACCTTAGACTCCAATGGACCTCGGAGTCTGTGTGGTGAAGAAGGTGGCCATCTTTGAAGCTGGCACAACGCCTGCGTGATGAAGAGGATGGAGGGAGGCATTTGGAGAAAAGGCGGGTAAAAGGCGCTGAGGTACACATCAGCCATGGCTCGAGGGGCTGAATGGACTACTCTTGTTCTTATGTTTCTATATACAGTCTGGGCACCACACCTAGTAATGGAGAGGTGTAGAGCAGGGCCACAGGGCCATCCCGCAGAGAGTGCCTCCTACAATGATGAACTGGGGCTATTCACGTTGGAGCAGAGGAGACCGAGATCTTCCCAAGATCCTGCAAGGAATCAGGGTAATGACAGGGCGCGAGATTGTTCCCATTAGCACATGTTCCAGAGCTATTTACAATGTCCCAGAGGCACACCTCGGCTCCCCGTCAAGCCACAGCACCTTCAAACCGGAGAAAAGTCACTTGTGGTTGGATGTGATGAAGCACTTCTTCACACAGAGAGTGGCGAGCATCTGGAACGGACTCTCAGGTGATACAGTCTGTGCAAATCGTGTCCGCTTGCTAAGGAGAGGTCTGGACAGATTGTTCACAGACAAGCAGAATGGTGACACTGTTAACTATGGTGTAGCAGGATATACAAAATACACAGTCACAAAACCTCACAGTAAAACCTTGTGAAGTGCTTTGAGAAGTCTCAACAAGGTGATAAGGCAAATGCAAAAAAAAAACTATTATCGAGGGTTGATTTGGGAGACTCTTATGATGGTGATGGGGGAGGGGTCACCCTGCTCGGCTGTCTGCAGGAATTATGGTGGAATTTTCCAGTGATATTTTACATAAGAACATAAGAATTCCTAGATGAAAGAAGACCAAGGTCCATCCAGTTCATCTTCTACCGACCTGGCAATCGCATCCACATGTCTGGTCCCAAACTATGTCCCTTTCTTCTGTGTTGTTGCTTCAGGGTGGGCGTGAATCATAGAACCATAGAATTATACAGCATAGAAGGAGGCCATTCGGCTCATCTCGTCTTTGAAAAGAGCTACCCAAATCAATCCCACTCCCCCGCTCTCTCCCCATAGCCCTGCAAACTTGTCCTCCCCAAATAATTATCTATTTCTCTCTTAAAAGCTGTTATCGAATCGGCTTCCGCCACCCTTTCAGGCAATGTTTCCAGATCCGAACAACTCGCTGTGTGAAAACATTTCTCCTCACCTCTCCTTCTGTTTCTTTTAACAACTATTTTAGGTCGGTGTCCTCGGGTTACCGACCCACCCGCCAGTGGAAATAGTTTCTCCTTGTTCGCCCTATCAAATCACCTCATAATTTTGAAAACTTCTATTAAGTCTCTTTTTTACCTTCTCTACTCCAAGGAGAATAATCCTGGCTTACTGACGTTAGACTGACTGGCGCTGTAGTTCCCGTGATTTTGTACAGGGGAGTAACATTTGCAACCCTCCAGTCCTCTGGCACCACCCCGGTGTCCAAGGAGGATTGAAAGATTGTGGCCAGAGCCTCCGTTATTTCCACCCTTACTTCCCTCAGTAACCTAGGATGCATCCTGCCCGGACCGGGTGACTTATTTACCTTGAGCACCGACAACCATTTTACTACCTCCTCTCGGTTTATTCTTATCTTATCCAATTTCTCTCCCCTCTCCTCCGATACCGTGACATCGGCTGCATCCTCTTCTTTTGTGGAGGCAGATGCAATGTACTCTCATTCAGTACGTCAGCCGTGCCCTCTGCCTCCACAAGAAGATTTCCTCTTTGGTCCCTAAATGGACCCACCCCTACCTTTGACTAACCTTTTATTCTTTATATGCTTATAAAATACCTTAGGGTTCCCTTACATGTTACCCGCTAATCTTTTCTCTTTGCAGTCTCTTCGCCCCTCTTATTTCCTTTTTTCAGTTCTCCTCTGTGCTTTCTATATTCTATTTGATTATCTCCTGCGTGGTGCGAAAGGGGACTGGATAGCCCACGAATCAACGAAAGGATAATTAGAATATTGGGGAGGAGGGGGGGGTGTGTGGAATGGGTTACATTGCTCTCAGGAATGTACTTGATATGTCTCTGGGTTCTTCCCCACGCTCATTCACGTATCTACGGTTTTCCCCCCAACTACTGCGTTGATCTCAACAGCACCATCTTGTGGCTTATGCCGCAGCACTGCTTGAAACGTCTCCAATAAAATTTTCAAGGATCCCTTGCGTTTGATACGGAGCGCCTTTCACCTCGGGAGGACATCTCAAAGCGCTTCATGAGATTTACTGTAAAGAGCAACAACTGTACTTTCTGTGGGTGAACTCGGCAGCCAATTTTACGCACAGCCGCGAAGAGAGGGTCTGGTTACTCTGGGGGATTGTTGGCCGGGATACCAAGAGAAACTCCCTTCTGTTTTCGAGCAATGTCATGGGATCTTTCATAGCCAACTGAACAGGAGCTCAGTCTAACATCGCATCTGAAAGTCTCCCCCAGTGACCTCTCACCGACAGGGAGTGTGACGATGATGGGTGGGAATTGAGCAGGAGAAGAGCCAAGATGTTGACTGTCTGATCCAACGCCCAATAGCGTCCACTAGAGGGCTGTAGTAACACTCCTCTCCTCATGTTGAGCAACAGGTCCTCCCCACTGGAACACCAATACAGTATAGGCTGGAGGGGGAGGAGTTATTTTGGGGAGGGGTAAAAAAAAAGCTTAACCCAGTTTGTATCGAGAGGTTGATAGAAGTGTGTGGTTGGTAGTTGTGGATCAACAAATTATGCTATTTGATTAAAAGTTGTAGTGTTTGAATAGTCCCAATGCCGAGCAATAAGTCTTTCTTCCCCGAGGCCCTAAAACTGCTACAATGGAGTGGGAGCTCTGAGTTCCACAGATTTGGGGGGGGGGGGGTAGTAGCTGAATAACACAGTCACTACACTTTGCAAAAAAATAACGCCCCCTTGGAGATGGGCGGACGTGATAACATCATTACAATTATTATTTTTACAATTGGCAATTGGAAAGAGTTGAACGGATGGAGAGCAAAGCAGCAACGACCGGGTTGTGCCAGAAATTTAAATACGGTCCTTTTTTTTTTGTAGCCCCAAAGGAAACCAAACAAAATACATCTTTATATACTTTACAGGATCTTCTGTGAAGCGCTTTGAGACGTCTCAATGGCGCGGTAAGGGGCTGCACCAAATGCAAGGATGATGATTGTTATAATTATTATTATTATTATTAACAACAGCGGTTGGTTGAGGGTCAGCGTTGCGGAAACTGGGTTTTAAAAAAAAAGGTCTTCAAAGTGGGGGAAAAAAACACAGATTTTTTTTAAATGTGTTTCAAAAAAAGATTAGGAGCCAATAGTACTGTAATGAAAAATAATCCTCGCATTTGATGCAGCGCCTTATCACGGCTTCGAGACGTCGCAAAGGGCTTCGCGGAATACACTGCGAAGTGAATTGACCGACCGGATATTCTGCGGCCGAAACGCAGACAGTCGCGGGAGGAAAGCGATTCAAGGGTTTACAATGACCACCCACTCCACCCCCCCGCACCGCACCCCCACCCCACCGGCCCCCCACCCCCCCCACCCCCACCGCCCCCCACCCCCACCGCCCCCACCGCCCCCCACCGCCCCCACCCCCCCCCACCCCCCCCCACCCCCGCACCACTGCCCCCACCCACCCCACCGCCCCCACCACCCCCACCCCACCGCCCCCACCCGCCCCCACCCCCCCACCCCACCCCCCACCCCACCCCCCCACCGCCCCCACCCCACCGCCCCCCACCACCCCCACCCCCCCCCACCGCCCCCCACACCCCCACCCCCCCCCACCCCACCGCCCCCACCCCCGCACCACGCCCCCACCCACCCCACCGCCCCCCACCCCCCCCCCACCGCCCCCCCCCACCCCCACCCCCCACCACCGCCACCCCCGCACCCCCCCCCGCACCGCCCCCCCACCCCCCCACACCGCCCCCCCACCCGCACCGCCCCCCCACTGCCACACCCGCACCGCCCCCCACCCCCACCCCCGCACTGCCCCCCCACCCCACACCCGCCCCCCCACCCGCACCGCCCCCCCCACCCCCGCACCGCCCCCCCACCCCCGCACCGCCCCCCCACCCCCGCACCGCCCCCCCCCCACCCCCGCACCGCCCCCCCCACCCCCCCCCCGCACCGCCCCCCACCCACACACCGCCCCCCCACCCCCACCCCCGCACTGCCCCCCACCCACACCGCCCCCCACCCGCACCGCCCCCCCCACCCCCGCACCGCCCCCCCCCCCACCCCCGCACCGCCCCCCCCCACCCACGCACCGCCCCCCCCCCCCCCCCACCCCCGCACCGCCCCCGCGCCCCCCCACACACTTTTCTTAGAAAAAAAAATATTTCAACTAAAGAAATTATAATTATTATTATTATTATTTATTATTATTCGGGAAATTTAAAAAAAAACGCCCAATCGCCTTGAAAAACCCGCCCAATCGCCCCAGTGAGAACCCGCCCCCTTTTGGGCGTGAAACCCGCCCCCTTTGGGCGTGAAACCCGCCCCCTTTGGGCGTGAAACCCGCCCCCTTTGGGCGCGAAAACCCGCCCAACCCGGGCCCACCTTTGGCGCCCGCCTGCCCTGAGCCTCGGGTTCCCGTCCGTCCTCCCAACCACTCGCCCTCTGATTGGTCGCGGGAGGCGGGGAGAGGGGGCGGGGCCGGGAGCCGGACGGACACCGCCGCCCCCCCCCGTCACGTGACGGGGGCGCGCCTGCGCGCGAGCGGGGGGGGGGCGGGTGTCCGACCGGAAGTCCCGCCCCTCCCGCGGCGGGCTCCCATTGGCCGAGCGCCGGCGTTCTGTTTTGGAACGCCGCCGAGTTGTCAGTGTAACAGATCGGCGGCGCTTCCGGTTGTCTGGGGCGCGCGGGGTGGGGGGGGGGGTCTCGGGGGGGGGGGAGAGAGAGAGAGAGAGAGAGACACACAGAGAGAGAGAGAGAAGGGGGGGAAGGAGGGAGGGAGGGAATAGAAGGAGAGAGAGCGACAATGCGAGCGTGAGAGAGAGAGAGAGAAGGAGGGAAGGAGAGAGAGAGAGAGGAGGAGGAGGAGGGAGGGAGGGGGGGGCACGATGCGAGCGTGAGAGAGAGAGAGAGAGAGAGAGGAGGAGGGAGGGAAGGAAGGAGAGGGGGAAGGAGGGAGGGAGGGAGGGAGGAGGGAGGGAGCCGGGGGCAGAGACACACACACACACACCGCCCGCCCGAGAGAGAGAGAGAGAGACACACACACACACAGGGGCCAGGAGCGGCCATGGACAATCAGGTACCTCTCCCTCTCCCTCTCTCTCTCTCTCTCCTCCCTCCTTCCCTCCCTCTCCTCCCTCTCTCCCCCCCCCCCCCGGGCCTCAAGCGAGAGACCCGTCTCCAGACTTCCGCGCAGCTTTCACACTCACTCACTCACTCACTCACTGCTGGAATTTCTGTCCCTCTCTCCCCCTTCTCTTCTCTTCTCTTCACTCCCCCTCACTCCTCCCTCCCTCTCTCCCTCTCTCTCCCTCTCTCTCTCTCCCTCCCATTCCTCCCTTCTCTTCCCAATCCTTTCCCCATTCCCCCCCTCTCCCTCTCCCTCTCTCTCTCTCTCTCTCCCCATTCCTCTTCCACTCACTCCCCAATCCTTCCCTCACTCCCCAATCCTCTCCCCTCCTCTCTTCCAAAGTTTATTGTTTTTTTTATATTCCCTAATTATTAGGTTATAATTATAATATATTATTTTACCTCCTCTCCCCCCCTCTCTCCCTCTCTCTCTCTCTCCCTCCCTCCCCCCCCCCCCTCTCCCTCCATCCCTCCCTCTCTCTCCCTCTCTCCCCATTCCTCCATTCTGTACGTTTACAACCTAAAAATCGCGCGTGTAAAGAGATCACCCAGAATGGGGGTTGGGGGGTGTGGGGGTGTTGGGGGGTGTGGGGGTGTGGGGGTGTTGGGGGGTTGGGGGGTGTTGGGGGTGTTGTCTGATTGCATCCTCTCCCAGTCCTCCTTTTCCTTCTCTTCTTCTTCTTATTATTATTATTGTTTTATTGTTATTGTTATTGTCCGCGTCTTCATAGCTTTCCAAACTGACAGGTAAACCCATCAGTGAGAAAAAGGAAGGGCAAGTGCCCCTGACTGCCAGCCTTGCCCGGTCCTGCCCTGCCCTGCCTTGCCCTGCCCTTCCCTTCCCTGCCTTGCCTTGCCTTGCCCTGCCCTGCCTTGCCTTGCCCTGCCCTGCCCTGCCCTGCCCTGCCTTGCCCTGCCCTGCCCTTCCCTTCCCTTCCCTGCCTTGCCCTGCCCTGCCCTGCCCTGCCTTGCCCTGCCTTGCCTTGCCCTGCCCTGCCTTGCCCTGCCCTGCCCTGCCTTGCCCTGCCCTGCCTTGCCTTGCCCTGCCTTTCCTTGCCCTGCCTTGCCCTGCCTTTCCTTGCCCTGCCTTGCCCTGCCCTGCCTTGCCTTGCCCTGCCCTGCCTTGCCCTGCCCTGCCTTGCCTTGCCTTGCCTTGCCTTGCCCTGCCTTGCCTTGCCTTGCCCTGCCCTGCCTTGCCCTGCCCTGCCTTGCCTTGCCTTGCCCTGCCTGCCTGCCTTGCCCTGCCTTGCCCTGCCCTGCCTTGCCCTGCCTTGCCTTGCCCTGCCTTTCCTTGCCCTGCCTTGCCCTGCCTTGCCTTGCCCTGCCTTGCCCTGCCCTGCCTTGCCCTGCCCTGCCTTGCCCTTGCCCTGCCTTGCCTTGCCTTGCCTTGCCCTGCCTTGCCCTGCCCTGCCTTGCCCTGCCCTGCCTTGCCCTGCCTTGCCTGCCCTGCCTTGCCCTGCCCTGCCTTGCCCTGCCTTGCCCTGCCTTGCCCTGCCTTGCCCTGCCTTGCCTTGCCTTGCCCTGCCCTGCCCTGCCTTTATTAAGGAAAGGAAGGCCAGTCCACTCCCAGGTGTCCAGGGACAGGACCAGTTGCTGGACTGAGAGCTCTGTGCCTCAGGGTTAAAGGTGTCTCTCGGGGTTTGCTGAAGCGACGGCTGCCATTTAAGGAGTTTGGCGGTTCAGAGCACGACTGGGGGCCGAGTGGTGTTACTGGGGGGGGCAGCGGGGAGGAGGGGGGGAGGAATAGGATCCCGTTGGAATATAAACGGCAGTGACTTCTTTTTCCCAAGAAAGAAGCGACGTGTGTTCTCTTCTTCGGTTGCCCCTCTGGGACCTTCTTGAAATGGGTTTCGCTGTTCCATGATCGTGCGCTGTCCGGTTGGTTTCGCGCATTACGTGAATCGGTTGAAGTCTCTGCCTGACGCACAGCGTAATACGGGGGGCAAGACACCCCGAGAGAAGGGTTTCAAGGAGGGGAGGGGGCGGGGGGTGTGTGTGGGTGGGGTGATGGGGGGGTTTTATTCGAGACGAGCCTCGGGGATCCGTTGCGATTTTTCGCTTCGAAACTCGCGAAAGGTGCGGGTCGGATTTTTACCCTTTTTTTTAACAAAAAAAATCCCCCCCCCACCCCCCCACCCCGGTGAAAAGATTGTGGCTGCGACGGGGAAACTTCGCACCGGAGTCGAGGCCGGCCTTCGGTTTGGCTGGTGGGTGTTTCCATCTAATCAACTGCGAAAGCCTTTGTTTGTTTGCCCGTCCGCCCCCTCGTCTTCTCCCAAAGTCATCCGACTGCTCTTTCTATCCTTCGATTTGGGTGCGGGTCCGACGGTTACCCCCCCCCACCCCCCCCCCACCCCGGGGGCCTCGTTCCAGGTGTGCGTGACTGTGATTGCCAGCGAGCTATTCGACAGCGAGGAAGGAGGGCGGCAGCCAAGCCTTTTGCTCCGTGGATTTCTCTGCGTGGATCCATGTAGATCAAGGAGCTGGGGTGGGGGTGGTGGGGGGGGGTCCAACCTTTTGGCTGCCGAGGGCCGGATGCCTTGTTTGAGACCCCCCCCCCCCCCCACCTCTGCGGGCCGCATAAGCAATATTTTTGCGTTTCCCTTCCAGAAACATTAACAACGTTGACAGGTTACGGAGGGAGCAGGTGCTCTGGGACAGATGAAATGGAGGGAGGTCCGGGGCGCGAATGAAATCGGCCCCTGGGCCATCACTTGGACCGCTCTGATATACATAGGCTCTCCGCCCCGGCGGGGGGGGGGGGAGGTTTGGGTGGGGGGGGGAATCGGCGCCTGAGACACGTGACGAGTGAGGAACCGGCTTTCCTCCTGAAGCTAAATGTCGTCCAAGTAGGACCGTTTGGATAAGATCAATTCACACAGCGCAGCACAGCCCATAAAGCTGTTCGCAGAGCTGAGGCACCCGGGAGGATGGATGCGATCTCTTTTGAGGTCGTCTGCGTATCCCTTGCGATATTAAACTGTCAAAAGGATCGATCAGGGTGTAATCAACACACGTGTCTTCCTCAGTTACTGCGTAGGACCCAGGAGCAGCGTAGGGGAAGGAACCAGTTTGATTCCTCCAGTTTTCAAGGGGTATGTCATGAGAGCCGAACAGATAAGATAGGCTCTTTAGCATTGATAAGGAGAGATGACGGAAGAAAGGGGAGCGCAAATCAGGTTTACAAGACGCTTAACAGGATAGAAAAAGTAAACCCAGAGCTGTGTGTCAAGGCGGCAGGACAGGAGGACACAGATAGATTCAGGACAGAGACCGAGCAATGCTACTTTACACAGTGGCTAATCAGCAGCTGGAATAGGTTACTGAGAGGGACGTCTGAGATCAGGACATTAGACTTGTTTCGACCGTAGTGTGTTGATATATATATGTTATATATAGATAACACAGCCCCTAAACTCTGGAACACTCTTGCACTATCCCTCCCTCTGCCTTGCCCCCTCTTTCCCCATCTTCAGATCGCGCCTGAAGACTTTCCTCTTCAACTGTGCCTACGGTCACCTCCCCTCCTGCCTCCCCCCCCACCCCCGGCTCGGGATCGCGCTCCCCCCAACCCCCCACCCCCCACCCCACCCCACTGTGGAGCGCTCTGGTACGCTTCCCTGTGCGAGGGCCGCGCTGTGCAAAGGCAAGTTGTTATCGTAGCTGTTGACGTTCTGGACGGTCGCACCTCGAGTGGGCTTTGGGCGAAGAAGGCCACTTGTTCTCGTTCTTCCAGAATATCCGCCCAACGGAGGGCGTACGTGCGCGCGGGGCAGCGGTGAGATGTTTTCGTTAGCGAGGATGGCCGGAGCCCGTTTGTGCTGCTGTTGCCTGAGACGCGTCAGTTTGCGACTGGAAGCCACTTATTATCGAGGGCTCTGGAAGCAATAGGGAAGGAAGAGACAAATAGATGGCGCAGCCCTGTCGAGAGAGTGAGTCGCTTAAATTAACCCTCCTTTAATGAGGTCTGATGTGGCTTCAATCCCACCCCACCCCCCCAACCCCCCCACCCAGCTCGTTGCCCTCCTCCCCACCACATGTCCCTCTCTCCCTCTCTTCTAAGTAACTTGTGGTTTATCGGGACAGCTTCGTTCTTCCCTTCGAATCCCCGCTTCAAAATGGTTTGAATCGGAACAAAAGGAAACGGTATTTATCTTCCTGTAATTTCACGAGTTTGTACTCCAAATTAAAGCCGAGGTCCCATCTGCCCGTTCGGATTGAAGATGCCACGGCATTCATAACGAAACGCGGCCGGAGTTTCTCCCGGTGTCCTGGCCAGCAATCCCCAGATAAAAATGGGTCATTCTCTTCATCGTCATCATCATCATCATAATAATAATAATAATAATAATCCTTGCATTTGGTACAGCGTGTTTCTCACAGCGGGAGGACGTCACAAAGCGCTTCACAGGATTTACTGTGAAACAAAGTGACTGTGTATTTGTAGGGAAACGTGGCAATGCAATTCCGCACAGCATTGTCCCACAAACAGCCATGAAAAGCGTGTGACGGATTTTTATTTGGGGGATTGCTGGCCAGGACACCCGGGAGAAACTCCCTCCTCTTTTCGAATAGCGTCGGGGTGGGGGTCGGGGTGGGGGGTCTTTAACATCCACCTGGACAGACAGACCGGACCTCGGTTTAATAATAATAATAATAATAATCCTTGCACTTCATTTAGCACCTTAGCAGGTCGTTGAGACGTCTCAAAAAGTGCTTCACACGATATACTGTAAAGTGCGTTGACTGTGTACTTCGCGGGTGAAATGTGGCAGCTAATTGCGCACAGCGGCGTTCCCACAGACAGCCACGGAGTGAGCGAGCGAGCGAGCGAGCGATCAATTTTATTTGGGGACTTGTTGGCCAGGACACCGGGGAGAGGGAGAGAGAGAGAGAAACTCCTTTCTCTTTTCGAATAGCGCCGCGGAATCTTTAACGTCCACCCGGACA